CTTATTGGCAAGTCATCACGCCAAAAGGAGTATCAATCCTACCGCAGTATAACGTAAAATACATTCCTGGCTTTTCTGACGTTCCTCCCGTTGGCCCTGTTCGCATCCAGCGTCGGCGCCTGTTTGCGGTCAAAGATGCTTCGATAAACACTCTGGTAGACACTTGGACTCTCAGTAGCAATAACCTCCCCAGCCGGAGTCGTTCGTTCAGGCGGCTTCCCGTTCACTCCTCCGGGCACATATTCTCTGCACACGGCGAAGTAACCAGCTGCTACGTCTGCCTCGCGAGCTCGCTGGAACTTCTCCGCCAGCTCTGCCGTGCGGGCGTTAAGATAGCTGTACTGGTCATCTCCCTTTCGCTCGAGGCCGCCCGGGTCTGCATTCTCCGTCTTTGACTCGCTGTCTGGCGGGCCGGGGAGGGTAAGGTATGCATAGAGGACGAGCAAGCTGAGCACCAGAGGAATGAAGGTAAGCCCACCAAGAACGTAGACGAGGAGGAATGCGCTGAAAGGCCCCATGAGGTTCTTTTAGCGAGCACTGGGATGGGTCCTCGCCATCAGAGAGAACGGACAGCAAGCAGACGGAGGCTCTTTTACCATCGGAATGCGGATGGTTGCGTGGTGTAACTAACAGCTTGCTTGACGGCGGTTGTTGTTGGTCTCGATAGCATCGACTTATCGACGAGATCTCCAATATACGTGGTCAACACGAGAAGTACTGGTACTTATATCAACACTTTATATGCATAGAAATAAAAGTATAGGTACTTCTTGAACTCGGTTAGCCTATTACGTCGTTTGGTGGATAAGAGTGACTTCGAGATACTTCCTTTACACCTAAAAAGCAGTGATATAAAAGTAGCATTTGGTATCCACTTTCTCATTACATCAAGCACAAAACACAAAATACATAGATCAGAGCAGCAGACATTAATATTATTATTATCATATCATATATGTGAAAGAGAAGAGAGACCCTAAGGAAAAGACCTGAAGAGATCAGCGACCTTGTCAATGGGAGCAGTCAGCAGTCCCACAGCGGTTTCAAATGGCGGCTTGTTCGGCGCACTGGGATGAGACCGCGTAGGGACAAACATCTTTGTCCGCTCAAAGGAGGCTGCCATTTGGTCGCTCTCCTTGGGATCCAGACGCTCCTCGATCTTCACTAGGTCGATGCTCTCCTCCTCCTTGATGTGGTCGGACAGATTGCCCATTAGCCCCTTGATCAGATCCATGAAGTTGGGATCCGTCGCATCCGTTGCCTGAAACACCTTCAGTTGCTCCTTGACCTAGTCATCCCGTTAGCATTGTCACTGAAGTAAAGGAGTAGACATACGAGCTGGTGCTCCTTTCTGTCCTTCTCCGTCAGCTTGGTGCCTTCGTCGCCCATGATACGCTCCATGGCAGGATACAGGACCAGCTCCTCGCCTACGGAGTGACGGGCGAGCTCCCAGACAAACGCATTCTGGTATTTGGTCTTCTCACCCGGGTCGATAGAGTTGATGATGATCTGGTAGTATTGCTCCAGCTCACGGTGGTCTGCCTTGACGGCGTCTGAGATCCTGTTCTGCATGGCTGATGTTGTAGAGAAGTAAGCCAGTGCTGGATGACGAGATAACGGGATAGCTCTGGGTGCAGCAGTCCTCAGAGACGGTATTACAGTCCTTGAAACTCGCAAACAATTCATCGAGGAGCTATAGATTTGGGAATTGAAGGAATTGGGCCATCCTGCTGCGCTACGCAGTTAGGAGCTTGTAAATAAGCATAGCCCAAGAAGCTCTCCGGGAAGGAAACAAGGTAAAAACGTCATAAGCCGTCATCGCCTATCACACAGCATGTAAATACAGAATGGTCAGCATCAACCGCCACTTGAGGCGAAGAGTAGCTCTAGACATGGCTATTGGATAAGTTTATTAGGCTGTGGAGTGGAGGAGTAGTGATGTGTGTGCGTGTGTGTGTGTGTGTGTGTGTGTGCGTGTGTGTGTGCGTGTGTGTAGATGCATTCATGCATATTCGGTTTAGTTATTAAGGCTGTTTTGGTAGCTGATATCACACCGAAGAGACAATCCAAACTCCTCGAACGTCCATCCTCACTCATCCGGGGTATACCAAATATGTACAGAAGAATATTAAATATCGCGTATGATGATGATGACGATACTGCTTTCCGGTCCAACAAAAGAGATGAAGGAAGAGAGAGAATGAGTGTGAAACTCAAGAGAAAAACGAATGAAAAGAAGCCAGACAGCCAACCGACGCCCTCAATTGTCTCGTTTCAATAATGTCTTATCTCAAAGGCTGGATCAAGACCGACGGGGCTTTCCGGTAGGCTGGTCGGCTGGTAACTCGATGGGTTCAGTCTGCTGTACTCCTACAACCGGTAGCTCCGACGGAGGAGCTTCATGTCGGGGACTCTCAACCGATTCGAGCTCCGGCGTCCCTCCGTCGCCCATCAGCTCGTATGCTCGTTCCTCTTCCTTCTCTCGTCGCTGCTCGTCGCCGGGTAGTGGTTCCTTGTCGTCTCCCCACGTATCCGTCGGAGCATCAGTATCAGCGGTACCGGGACCGGTACTATTATTACCACCAGTGGAGGCAGAGTCCGCTCGGGTCCGTCTCTTTCGTCTCTGACTGCGGAGGAACAGCAATGTCCCTGCAATGATGGCGAGTAGCACTGCAACGCCAACGCCTACGCCTATACCTGCCTTGTCGACAGTCGATAAGCCCGTCTTGTCCTTAATGGGCGAGTGTGCAGGCGTCGAGGTCGCGCTGGCGGATCCCATGCTTCTTAGGGCTGTGACAGACACCCCAATAGGTTTGGGGCTTAACGTCGAGTTGTCCGTCTCGTTCGCACGGCCGATCAGCAGACCGTTCTCGTCCAAGAAGAAGCCCGCTCTGTCAATGCAGCAGGTTCTGTTGTCGTCGCAGCAATAGCTGCCACTGGAAGGGCCAGTTTGTTCACACACCACTGCTCGAGGCAGGACAGGCGAGTCTTTATTATCTACGTTGACACTTATTAATATATAGGGTCTAAACTTTTTCATCAAACTTGAGGGATAATGTAGAGAAAGGCTCGGGGAGAATGGGAGCCAATCGAGACCTACCATACAGGCATACCTGGGCGCAGCTGTTTGTCCACGGCTTGTATGCGCAGGGGGGCCTAATAAGCGTCTTGGGGTCCTCCTTTGAGGTGCAGAGGCGATCTGGACGGCACTGCTCAATTGTCTCGCAGCAGGAATCCGAGTCGGGACACTTGACATAATTCGGATACTCCCTCTTGCTATCATAGCTGTAGCAAGTTATTTTTTCGTGCTTCTCCCTGTCACCGGCTACGCCGTCGACGCCGCTGGTGCTGGAAAGGGGCAGTTCCATTCTCAGGGTTAAAACGAGAGACTGAAGGAAGAAGATATTGTGTTTAAACGAAACCACCCCTTTCGCAGCCTGGCAAAATAACAAGCATCAAGAATGAGATTGGAGCTGAAGAGGGCAGAGAATTAATTTCTCTGCACAATCTTCCCCCGTCCATTTCCAACTCTTTCTTCTTTGACCGTTTCCTGGGGTTGGTGGCCAATAATTACTATCCAAGCCACCGGGGGGATCACTGACTAATCGATCCTCCGCACTATTAGAGTCAAGGAATCCTCTATCTTGCTGGCAATAGATCTAGTGATGAACCTGATCTGTCGATATATGAGTATCTGTGCATCTCAAAGCGGAGTTTATGTAAATGAAGGTGTCGATGTTGATGCTCTGGAGTTGATGTCTGGAGTACGGAGTAGCCATACGATGTCGATGGAGTACGGAGTACGAGCCGAGCTTGAATGGACCAACCCTATCCAAATAATGTTCTTTCCCCGTCTCCGTCTCAGGGACCACTGACGGTGGAACCAACGCCGTTTAGCGAGATCCAGACTGCAGCCCAGCGCCCAACTGGCTCTTTTTTTCGCCCTTAAACCTGGCTGACCGCTTCGGGCACAGTCTTAACCCTGCAACTTATGTAACTCGCGCATTCATTTTAGTTACCTTCTTCCGAGGGAGCTGAAAAGTTGTTTAATAGTTAGCTCATGCTCAACCATGGGAACATCCGCAGGGTGCCGCCACTCGACTAACACCCGTATGCAAGGCTAGCCTGTAACTCCATCCTGGGTCAGCATAAAAGTGGACAAACAATCAAAGTGCCGGCCCACCTCTCTCCGTGTGCATATAGGCTGACCGTCATGGGTACATCGAGTGTGACCTGCAGCTCCTGCATCTCCCTCCTGCCCGCTCGCTGTCCGTCTCGCTGTCACTCTGCCTCTCCTTTGCCCCTGGACAACCAACCGGGTCGCTGCTCAGAGATAGCCGGTCAAAAACTTGAGTCGCTTCTGTTGAGTAACCCCCCGGCGATCAGTCGCATCCCACTTCTCCTGTAGGCCCGTAGACTTTCGCCGCTGCTCGTCTTTATTGTTGCTCCTCGCTGTCGCCATCTTGTCTGCTGTTGTCGACTTTTTCTTCGTTTTTGTCTTCGTTTGCTCGTCGTTGCTTTTTTGATATCCCTCGGTCATGCTGACTCAGCACTGCTGACCAATCACGGGGCTTCCCTCCACCTCCGAACTTCTTTTTCGACCTTAAAACAACAAACGGACGACGACGAGAAGCAGCAGAAGCCAGACAAAAGGACTGGCAAAGGGGCTGAAGAAGAGACGAAACGAGACGAATAAGTGACAGTGCTTGTGTGGCAGTCAGGACTCGCTGCGGCAAGGCGCCTTTACTGCAACAAACATCCGATTCTCACGGCCGACCAAGATACCACAACCCGTGTATATATAACTCAATTCTCCTATAGCCAAACTGCATGCACCCTCCAGTCTGCCTGTTCACAGCCGAATACACTGCCAGAGACACTGCGGAGAACCGACGAGACCAATACCACGATTAGACCGCCGCAGCTGCGACGAGGAGCCATGACCTCGTAGCCCGCTCACTGCAGCTGGCATGTAGGACCTCCCACAAAACAATGCTTGGATGACCATCTCCCATCCTCCTCAGATGAGCAATCCATACTCACAGCCACCGACTAGCCTTTCTGACCAACCGACAGCTCGTATGGCCTTGCAACAACAAGCTCGATCAGGACCGGGGAGTGATTTAGGGAGAGGACTAGGGCCAGGCACGAATGCGAGTCCTGTCATTGATCTGACAGGGAGCGACAACGAAGATGACGAGGACCTGGAGTCCAGTCGGCCTGCGAAGAGGTTGCGCATTGATACAAAAGGACATGATGAGATTGCGAGGATTCTGAGTTCTGGCATGCGCTTGATTCAAGGAGCAAGCGATGATGTGAACGATGGAAAGAGTAGTGAAGTTACCGACCAAAACATACCGTTTGTTGAGAGTGTAAAGCCTCCAGCGTCATTTCAAGATCGGCTGGCGTACATCTCGGTAGATGGAGGTGGTCAGCAGTCACAATCTTCATCCTCTCCTTTACCTCTTCCCCCTCGGCCGCGAAGGAGTCTGTTCATGCGGGACAAATCAGAAACCGCCCCTGAAGACGATGAGCAGGAAGATATGACAGTCCAGACCACCCCATATACTATGGAGAAACCTGCTGCTGCTGCTAGGCTCGCAGATAATAGTGCGTCATTACCTATCCATTATTACTCCACAGTTTTTACAATGCAATGCTAATAACCAACAGCCGTCCTCGACTTTCACCCGTGGACTGGGAATCACCCGGAAGATGCTCTCAACGAACAAACCGCCAAACAAGGCTTTTATGACCGTGTTCAGCTGTCCCAGAACGAAAGTAATACCGCACGCCCATCTCTATACACACACTTTAAGAACCCCAATGGTCTCAAAGCGCTTTCCCATATATTCGCGGCTGCTCTTAAACGAAGACAAGCCATGACGAAAGTCACACCTAACTCAACATTCAAACCACCACCGCGCGTTACACTCACCGATAACAAACGTGAAGCCTGGCTACGAGACCTGGCTAACCCATCCGTACCCCTCAGGCGGCTTAGCAGAACCATACCTCACGGCATTCGTGGCAAGATATTGCTGGACCAGTGCCTAGGGAAGAACATACCTATTGGACGCGCAATCTGGCTGGCCAAGTGTGTGGGCGCGAATGAAATACGGGCATTCAAACGGAAAGGGACGGCAGCTACCATTGCGAGCGGGCTTGAAGCGAAATGGGTAAAGGACTGGACTGGAAGTGTGCAGCAGTTCATGGAAAGTGTGGTGCAGTCGCATGAAGACGCCGGGTGGATTGAGAACCAGGCTTATGCGTATGTTTGCTTTCTTTTCTTTTTTTTTCTGACTTCTCTAACATCCGTTTTTTGATATTCGTTGCTGACGTATCATAGCATGAGATTGTCTGGTCGTCTATTCTTGGAACAACTGCTTGACCAGGATGCATACCTCGAATGGTTTCTCGGCTCTCTGCATGCATCTAACCTGGATATGTTACCTGTCTGGTTATCAAGTATTGGTGTATACTGGAAGAATCTCACTAGCTACCGAAAAAGAGGCAGACGTCTGGCGCAGACCCTACTTGATAAGCTAGCATGGGTATGTAACTCTTCTTTTAGTTGTCGCGTATCAACGACATTTTACTAATGATACTTCTAGGCTCTGAATGTTAACCGTTCTGCAGTCCTTAATCCACTAATCACACGCCTCCAATCACTTATTCGTTCGTTCATTACCTCTTATCCATCATCCTTTATTCTTCCCTTGACTTGGTCTCAACACCAGAAAGCCCTGACTGCATGCTTCAACACCTCCGTGCCCCTGGAGACAGCGATACTCGCTCAACTCATTGCACGAAATGCTCGTCTATCCAAAATCTCTCCTCAGTCCGCTATAAACTCTCCTCAGTCTATCCCACGACCTGCCCCACAACAACTAATATCGCTCCTTGATGCCCCATGTGCATCTAATGGTTTCCCTCTTCTTGCTGCAAAATGCCTTGCTCTCCCCCTAGATCACAGAACATTGATACATACCCTCCTGGAATGGTCCTCAACCCCTTTCAGATACGGATGTGCACGAATCTATGCCTCTGCTCGACTACTCCGTCGTTGGAGGAAGCTCTCGATCGATACTGATGCGCATATATCCTCATTCTTGGCCGAGAACAGCAAATATAGCGCCCGCCAGCTCGAAAATGCCTACCATCTCGTCTCGGAACTGGTACGGTCCCAGTCCTTTTCCGTTGGCAAGTACTTGGAATGGCTTATGGCAAGAGGCGCGGTGAGAAGTCCTGATATGTCTGGTCAATATCTGACAGCTGACGTAGAACTTCTACGGCATCTTCCGTCAAGTAGACTTCCGGAGCACATCTGGAATCTACGCAACACTTTGCTCTCTAGAGCGGGTGTGTCGGTCGATGCTGAGGCGAGGCAAATACGCCAAATCAAGACTGATCTGTTGCAAAAGCATTCTGACATATTTGTTGGGCATATTGGTACTGCTGACACTGAGATGATGGATGGTGAAATTGACTGGGCTAGCCTCACCTGGACAGTCAAGTCGGAAATTTCACATTGGATTCGAGAGCAGGTTGCATTGAAACTTCGAGCCCAGGCTCAAGCCCAAAATCAACCTTCCAGTAATGCAACCGCTCAAGCAACCGCTTCCATGATAAGGCCAGACCAGTTTTACTTTCTGCGATACATCCTGGAGCGCATGGGTGATGTCTCGATTCTCGCTGATGTCCTCAAACTCCTCTCCCAATCATCTAACCCCACCGTCTTAGCTTCCGTGACAGATACCTTGAACTACCACTTACCATCTTTCACTGCCATCGGCGCAACAATGGATCTCCTACAAAGCTTTGCGATCTCCTACTCAAAACTGAGCAAGACTGAAGCGCACGTTCAAGATGTGATAGTGTCTCTGCTTGACGTTGCCATTGTCATACCATCAGAAGCCTCTACTGTTGCTGTCTTGCGCCGCGACCTAGCGCGCTATGACAAGAAGTCAGCCATGGCTGCCTCATCACCAGTATCAGAACATATGGCTGATACCCTCAACCCTGTCAACCCTACCTTTGGTGGGATGCTTGACCAGCTTCTTGCCTCGGGGAACTGTATGGACGACGCTACGCTCATGCGTATATTTGATTTGCTTATCCAGAAGCTTGAGACAGGTAAGGCCGACATCAGCATCACATCTAGCGAGGCAGCGCGATATCTTGCACAACTACGTTTGTTCAATCCCAAGACTTTTGATGGGCTTATGATCAAGCGTGTGGTTGGGATGATACGCACTTCTCCAAGACCAAAACTGTCCTACTTTCTACCACCGCTCATCGGAGTGGGCTGTATCACTCTTCCGGCGTTTTTCGGTCTGGTGAAGAGGCTTCTTCTTGACGCTGATAAGGCTGGAGAGAATAATATACCCGATCTTTTGCACCTCAGGTTGGACATGTTGAGTGTTCTAGGGCTAGGGACAACCGACCAAAATACAGTCCCAGACCTCGTACGTAACCTTCCATGCCAGTAATCCCAATATCAAATACTGACTTGCCGTTAGGTATTCTACCGCTTCAAAATCTCACGCCAGGAGTTCGTCCAGAAGCACTGCTGTATCATTGTCAGCGCTATACGCGATGCTGTAATGGATGCGTCCGCAAACCATTCTGCCGCCGACGCCTCTCTTCATGAACAGTGGAACAAGGCCATTTTCCCACTTCTTTGCGAGATAATGGTTCGACATTCCAGCCTCGCGAGGGATGAATGTGTCAAATGGGTGACGGCGAAGTTCCCAACAGGATTACGCCTACTTACCCAGACACTGGACAGTCTTCTTGGCGTGGAATCAGACAATGGTAATCTTAAGATTCTGCCATTGTCCAACGGCGATGATGCCAGAGATGCTAATTTGCACGCAGATCCTAACCGTGCCTCAACTAGCTCCCAGTCGGTTCAGCAGCAAGCGTCGGATACTATCCGTCGCATTGATGACTTCTCCTTGCCATTCTGTCTTATCAAGCTGCAACTCCTACTTGTGGAAACAGATGCAGCCGGAAAGGAGAACGTCCTTGATCCTATCTTTTCTGCGGCTGAAATGGATGTGAAGAAGGGGTTATCCCGATGGGTGGAAATTATCACTGTTCTGGATGATGAAGGAAGACGACAGGTAAGCTGGCGAGATATTCCATATTGCAAAATGGTACTTGCTAACCATCCTTCAGCTCCAACAAAAGGCAGAGAACAAACTTCTATCGTTATTCATTACATCCGCCTCCTCGTCCTCGACGGGCAATAGTGATGATGGACCGGCACCTCATGAGCATGGGTTGGTATACCTACGCATAATTGAGGAACTAGTATCCAAAGCACCAAATGAGAACGAAAACGTTTCTTCCACAATCGGCAGCGCCCTGTTGGAAAGAATGAATCTCTTGCTTCAACGGATAGCGTTTCTGTCAAAGGTTAAGTCTACAGATTCAGGCTCCACTATCATCGCTCAGTGTAATGAAGGCGGCATGCTTGGAATATGGATATACATTATCCTTCGTCTTGTGGCCTTGTATCGCTCACCTTTCGATGCTGAGCGTGCCTCTAAGACAGATCTCTCGGACCAAACTCGCCTCCTGCTCAGTATTTGCTACATGGCATTTACTCCGGCCTTAATGCAGGTACTCTCACATACAACCAACCTTCCTCCCACTCCCACTGGCAAATACGCCCACCTGCAAAGAACGGTACTAGGAAACTGGAATAGCTTACGAATATATACCATTGACGTTGCCAATATCTTGGTCGATACCCTCCCAGATGAAGCCCGCATACAGTGTGCCCGTTTCCTCCGTGATAGGTCCCCTCTCTTCCTCCAGCAGCAACAAGATAGCCGTCTTCTATATCTTTTTGGCCCCATGCCTGATCCTCAAGCCGGCCCCATCAGCTCTTCTACTAGCACCACAACCTCCGGTGCGCCACCTCCCGGCTCATCACCTCTAAATACCCAAGGCCCTACAGCGCAGGGCTCATCTGCCCAATCTCCTCACCCAACCAATCCATCAATCCCCACCGTTGAAGAAACAACGTCACCTGTTCAAAATTTCCGATTCCAGCAGGGCAATCGAGTCGTCGGTCCCTGCCCTCCGAGAACATGGGAAATGATTGAAGAATCCGCCCCTGTTGTCGGCGTAAATGACACACCGCTTAACCTTTCATACTTTGGCGCACGCCTGGTCAGAGCAGGACTAAAATAAAAGACTGATATCCTCCTGCAAATTAATAGCCAATCTACTCAGCCACATGAAACTCGCCTAGCAGTCTTCACTTCAAGTGACATCATATCCACCTTTTCTTCTCTTCTCTTTTCCGTCAAATACTTCAACGTTTTTATATCATTCCATGAGATATGCGAGCATTTACTTGGATACCAATTTGCTTCTCCTATCAGCGACTGCACCATAGTACTTACCTCTTACGCTATTTTTAACATCTCCAGCTTACTCATTTTCACTTCACATATCTTTAACGAATAATAACGAGCATCTGTTATTGCTTTTGGTTTGGAGCTCTCTCAGCGGTGAACGGATGGACGGACGTCGGATATTGTTTTTTTTCATTACCCTATATTTTTCCCCCCTATCATTCCTGTTTGTATCACGGACTGCATTTGTTATCGGATGTCGGAAATTGAAGTCGTCTCTACGCGTTAAGTTGTGTCTCTATTCATTGTCGGTCATTTTTGATATCCCCCCTCTTCCGAGCTTCCAGCATTTATCAGTTGCCACTTTTGCCAACTTCGCTTATATATGTTTCGGATGTCTATTGTATATACTGGCTAACACTGGTTATCAAGCGTATACAATAAATTCATTAAGCTGCCCTCAAAACTACCCAATATCTTAAAGATCTTTTTTTACATAAGTAGTAAGTAAATGCCGACCGGGGGTAAGATCTTATCTGATGAGATAAGCCTTTATCACGTGACAGCTATAAATTTGGGGCAGCTTCGAGAGCTTCAGAGCAAACGCAGAAAAGAAACACAGAGACAACCAGATCCAAACAGCGGAACAGAGGGCAAGGAGAGGGGTGATTCTGCTCGTCATAGCTATGAACGGAGCCCGTTGAGAGCGCGCTAGTATAAATTTACCAGCTGTTGCTGCTGAGATACCGGCGCCATGTTCGCCTCTGCAGTGCGCATGTCCAAGGGAGGGCCAGGCTTCTTCCGCAAGACGGCAGATGAGCTGAGCCGGGCGACACGAATAGGTATGGTTATTCATTGCATTTGTAGTATTCATTTATATCCGAATGTTGGTAGATGATGGTGGATCAATGCTGACTGTTCGTCTCATGCAGCATGGAAGCTCGAGGGTCTGGACATCGCCAAAGACCAATACCATCTACTTGATTTCTCAAAGGAAGAGACGGTGCGAGGATGCAAGACCATGGCCGATCGTGCGGTTGGGGGTTACAGTACGGCCAATCTGGATTATGTTCCTGCAGACCCGGAGACGAATATGCCAGCCCACGCCCGATTCCACGGCTCGATATCGACGAAACTGCCGAGGGACTGGAGGGTACAGAGAACCGGTACGTTGGCTGGGACATTGATCAAGACGTTGTTAGGAGGATATGCTTATGTTACTTTGCTTAGGATATGCGGCGTTTAGAAACCAGGACCGAGGGTTCTGGCTGATGGGCAGACTGTACTGGGACGTCGACCCGTACACATACCTGGCTCTGCGAGTCAAGTCAGACGGAAGACGGTACACGGTGAATGTGCAGACGGATTCGATCATTGAGTCGGACATCCATCAGCACCGGCTGTTTACTCGACACCACCGGCTGCTCAACCGCGCTGAAAACCACCTTACATCCTCCACGATTACTCCCGAAGAAACGCTGTCCGAGCCCGAATCCGAATCCGACTTCCCATCCACATCTACATCTTCACCGTCCCGAATACCAGCTGCACTAGCGGACTTTGCTCCTCCCCCTTCTCCTACAACCACATCATCATCGTCGTATATAACCAACCCGCAACCCGGCTCAACAGGCTGGGAGACGATACTGATCCGGTGGTCAGACTTTGTGCGAACAAACTTGGGCACGGTGGTCGAGCCACAGACGGGCCTGCTGCAGCAGCGGGTGAAGTCAATCGGCATCGGACTGACGGATCGAGTGGAAGGACCGTACGATCTGCGCATTCACCGGATGTGGGCGACCAACGGACTAAGCGGCGAGGAGCTGGAAGAAGAACGGCGGATATGTGGAGAAGACGCGGTTTATACTTCTGCTCCAGCACGCCCAAGCCCAGCTGCTTCTGTGGCGGCGGGCGGTCCAGCCTCGAGTAAGGCGAAGGTTGAGGCAGCGGCTGAGCACTCGGAGTCTGGCCATGTCGATGACGACGATCACTCGTCGCTGGTGGAAAGGGAGTCCAAGGGCTTGGATCGGTTTAAGGATCTCAAGGGATTCCAGAAGAAATGAACGATGCATTAGTTCTTTAAAGCCCCCAAATGCTAAAGAGACTGCCAGCTGTCGATGATAACCTGCTTTTCTGGAGATTATATGCAGCCAATGGAAGAGGTTTTTTTCCTTTTGGGTCGTACAATGGCTGATGCAGGTGTAGATTTTGACAGGCGTATAACCATAGGTAGAAAAGAACGCAGGCTTTTTTTTTTTCTTTTGACTCGTTAACTAAGTAAACAAATAACAACTACATAGCTAGTAGTTACCTGACACAAAATACCTGAACTTTTCCTCCAGAACCAAAGTAATTAACCGTTACGATGTGAGCTCAGAATCCTGCCGGGGAGTAGTCATGCTCTTTTAACTCCTTCCCATCTCCAAATAATAACTAAACAAGCAAAGGGGGGGTGGTGTGGTGTTGGTTGATGAATGAAGTGAAAAAGGGGGGGAGGGTGTCGTAGATAAGAGGGTGAGAGAGGGGTGTGTGTGTGTGTGTGGCCTTATAATTTTTTATACAGAACCCGGCCGTAGGTCATGTTCCAATCCGGGGGTGGAGTAATAGTGGCTTCGTTAGGGACGAAAAGTCTCGCCGGTGATCCTCTCGAAGGCTTCTATGTACTTTGCCTCTGTCTTCTGGACGATCTCCTTGGGCATGATGGTGCCGTCCTTGCCTCGGAGGCCTTCCTTGGTCAGCCAGTCGCGGAGGAACTGCTTGTCGAAGCTGTCCTGGGGCTTTCCGGGCTGGTAAGTGTCCAGGGCCCAGAAGCGAGAGGAGTCCGGGGTGAGAACTTCGTCGATGAGGACGATCTCGTTGGTGACTTCGTCGTGGCCGAACTCGAACTTGGTGTCTGCAATGATGATGCCTCGCTGCAGGGCGTGGAAGGAGGCCAGTTCGTACAGCCGGATGGAGACCGCCTTGATGTCCTCCGCATACGCCGCGCCCACAATGTCCGCCGCTACTTCGCCAGTCAGTATATCTATATCTATATATCTGTATCCGCTTTAGAGGAGAATGTAGAGGTACCTTTGTCGGGATGGATGTTCTCGTCGTGGCCGCCCTGCTCGGCCTTGGTGCTGGGCGTGAACAAGGGCCCGCCGGGGATCTTGTCGCTCTCGACGAGGCCAGCAGGCAGCGGGATTCCGTGGACGGTGCCGGTCTTCTGGTACTCGGTCCAGGCAGAGCCGGCGAGGTAGCCGCGCACGATGGCCTCGACGGGGAAGACCTTGAGCTTGCGGACGACCATGCTGCGGTTCTTGACGTAGTCGCGGCAGGCCTGGGGCATGTCTCCGGGCATCTCGAGCGAGACGAGATGCGTGCGCAGCGAGGGCAAGGCTCCCGTGAGGAACTTGAGCCAGTAGACCGTGAGCGAGGTCAGGATCTGCCCTTTGTTCGGGATGCCCTAGGGCCGTCAGCACTCCTCCTCTGCACTCGAGGGCGATATACTCACATTCTGCATGAGCACGTCGTAGGCCGAGATGCGGTCCGTCGAGATGAAGAGCAGCGTGCGGTCGTCGACCTGGTAGATGTCTCGCACTTTGCCGCGCGAGACCAGCGGCAGGGCGCCGTGCAGGTCAGTCTCCTCGACGAGTTCCATCATCCTGACTGACGGTAGAGGAAGTAGATGTAATTGCAGGCGTAGAAGTGTAGTAGCTGTGTAGTAGCTGTGTTGTAGAGGAGTTGTAGTTGTAGTTGTAGATGTAGATAAAGTAGAGAGAGTAACTAGAGGATGGCGGGGCGGCTTAAGAGCAAAAGCGACGCCGGGATGTTTTTGCTTCTTCCTCCAGCTCTTCTGGCGGCGGACGGGCGGCTGCACAGCACTAATGCGGGCGCGATCACAGCAAGTTACTATTCGAGCTGCCTGCACGTCGTCCAGCAGGATGTTTGCTGTCCGTTTGCTGCTGTCGCGGTGAATTCGCCATTGCTATTGACTGCGGACGGGAAGACACAGACGGACGTCTCGGAACGCCCACGCAGGCCCAGGGGACAGTCACAGGCGAGTCTACGAAAGAGGGAAGCGGAGGAAGAAGAGAATACAAGAAGACGAAAAGGAAAAGGAAGACGAAAAGGAAAAGAAACGAGCAGGACGATGCGGTTTCTGACGCCGTCCAAGGTTGCGCTGCTGGCGCTGATATCCATCTACACAGAGGGCGTCGTGCCCAACTCGGCCGTCGTGCCGGTGCTTGCGTTCCTCGTCTCGCATCTGCTGCCGCTGGAGGCGTCGAGGACGGTGGGACATGGCTGTATACATGGCTGTCGACATGGCTGTAGACCTGGTTGTGGCCGTGGGAGTGGACGTGGATGTGGACAGCCGGACAGCAGCAGCAGCAACAAAGACGCGGCATCAACATCTACAGGAACTACAGGAAATTTGACATCTACAGGAACAAGAACAGAAGAGAAGATGCAAGGGACGCCGTCGGTAGAGGAGGTCAAGGAGGCGATGGCTGGGCTGGCGTCGTCCATCCCCGGGCGGTCGATATGGGACCTGTTCCTCAAGCGGCTGTGGCAGTTCGACTGCGCAGACACGCTGGACGAGTTCTTCGCCAGCCTGGCCGATATCCTGGCCCGGTCGCGGGAGGAGAGGCTGCTCGACCCGGAGGGGGCCAAGGAGGCAGACGAGGAGCAGAAGAAGCACGGCAGGGTGCTGCTGGCCCGTCACTCGCCGCTGGGCGCGTTTGTACGCAGAGTCCGGCTCGAGTATACGAAGCTGCAGTTCCACGATGCAATGAGCCTCTGGAAGGCCTTTATCCGCTACAGGATGCCTACCTACGCCGCCTGGGCGAAGAGGAACCCGGCAGAGGCACAGCTGTCCGTGGATGCGAACCTGTGCGAGCTGGGCCTGGATCTGGACAGCCCGCTCGCCAGGGTGATGTACGGCGACCTCGCTGACGACGGGGCGGACGAGGGTGCCGGCATGAGCGTCAGGGACGTCGAGCGCCTGCTGGAGTTTCAGATCTCCAAGATGCAGAGCAAGGCTGCCAGAGTGTCGCCGGACATGATGGCCCAGCTGAGACGGGTCATCATGGCCGGTGCAACCGTGCCTTGTCTCTTTCACTACGTCAGGTATGCATCCATCCCCTTTTGGCCGCGGACAGGACGATACAAAAGAAGAAAAAAAGGAGTAAAGAAGCAAAGAAGAGAAGAAGCAAAGAATAAAAACTGATTGTGATAGATTCCTTGACTCATGGAAGGCTGGGGACCATCCGTCCTCGCTCGACCATCTCCATCGGTACTTTGACTACACAGTCCAGACAAGAGACCGCACTTTCTACCAATATGCACTGCTCAACCTGGCCCTGCTGCAGGCGGACTTTGGCTGCCATGGAGAGGCCATCTCCGCTTTCCGGGAGACCATCGCAATCGGGCGCGAGACCCATGATATGAACTGCCTCAACTACGCCATGACGTGGCTCTACCACTTCGGCAAGATATCCCCTGACGAGCTCGCTGAGATACACAACACCGGCATGCTCGGAGCCGACAAGGAGGCTCTCGCTTTTCTCCAGGCCAAGGCAAAGGAGGCAGAGATGTGGGGGATGCTCAGCACCGCTCTCCTCAGCGAGGGCAGACTCGAGCTCGCAAATGTATGCTTGCGGCTTTTTTTTTCACCCTCTCTCTCCGTTCATGCATATACTAAAAGCTTCTGTAGGGAGGAAGCATTGCGTCGACGTTTGAAAGTATCATCAAGGCCTCCCATGTCTGCATAACAAGGGGCAGGCAGGACTCCATGGGGCCTCAGATGATGCTACATGCCTCCCTCTACGGCAGACTAGGTATGTCCGCCATGCTATCCAACATATTCCTACGGAGAACTAACGCCGTTGACATTCATTACTGACAGGACTAAGCCATCTCACCTGGTCGACGTACGAGACATTCCTGGAATGCTACTCCGGCTTCTCCCCTATGGACGATAACCTATGGGCCACGTTCCGCAGTGCACAGCTGGTGAGTTCTAACCCCTTTCTTCTCTTTCTTTATGCAGGTCCACAGTGAGTAAAATGAGATGGCTAACCCCCCCGGCAAGCTATCATGGAGTGGCCGACATGGTGACGCAGTTAAGCGGATGAACAGCTTCCCTGCCGATGCCTTGCAGCCTCTAAAACACCAACAAGCCTGGGCCTTCCATATGGGCCTCTTGAAACTAACACGCCAACTGCACCGGTACGGTTAACCCACTCCAACTCCAACGCTGCTGACGCTGTATAAATGTTAAACTATAGCGCTGGGATGCCAGGATTGCTAACGAATCACAACAGGGACGACCTACGGGCTTCCCAACACCTCCTCACACAGCTGGAGGGCGCCTCGCCGCCAGACCCCGAGGTGTCGACTGCGCTCAACCTGCTCAAGATCGACCTCCTGATGCGCCAGGGCGACTACGACGACGCCCTGTCGACCGTCGACCAGGTCGCGCAGTCCATGCACCAGGACAGCTTCGACATAGCCACCCAGATCAGCCTCCTTATCGCCAAGGCCCGCATCTTCGACAGGACAGGCCAGCCCGAGCGAGGCTTCTCGCTGGCCATGCGCGCCGCCAAAATCGCCCACCGCTCGCGACTGCTACACAGCCTATGGGACGCCGTCGCCGCGCTGTGCGTCATCCTGATGAGCTTCCGCGAGTTCTCAGCCGCACTCGACCTGCTGGAGAGCGTGATGCCGCAGGTCCTGGAGTGCGAAGACCGTGCGCTCGCAGGACGGATGTATGCCTGTCTGGCCGACGCGAGCATGGGGCTGGCGGGCGAGAGTAGCAGTCGCAGGGACTCCGGCCGCAAGAAGGAGTTTCTCGCCCGCGCCCTCGAGTTTATCGACTGCGCCTTTGCCGAGTTCTCGTCCATCGAGGAGGTCAGGGGTCAGTGTGAGATGATGGGCAAGAAGGCAACCATCATGCACCTGCAGGGCGACCTGGTCCTCGCCAACGACTTTGCAGCCAAGTATCTCGACCTCAAGCGCCAGGCCATCTCCGAGCGGCTGTAACTATCTCTATGACTATCACTGTATCATATCTACATCAACATCAACATCAACATCAACATCAACATCAACATCAACATCGATATCAATATCAATGTCAGAGTCACTGTTTTAGCCCCTTTTCTACCATCTTCCATCTTATCTTTCTAGACCCACTATTTTCCTCCTCTGGAAGGTAATCACGTGTATGACTAATCAACGACTCATCACTGACTAAGCCCCTTTTTGCCACTTTTTGCCGCCCGCCAAAAGCGGAAATTCTTTCTTCTTCTTCAACTTCAACTTTCGACTTTCAACTTCATCCTTCAACTTCAACTTTTACTATCTTACCAGCTCCAGCTCCAGCTCCAGATAATATCTTCGTCTCGCTCGACGACTCCTTTTATCCAAGTCTCAGACCTAACAACAGCCCAGCACTCAGAGAAGACAGAAGTTCCGTTGCGTTCTTCCTCTTCCTTCCGCCTTTTCCACCCTATAACCCGATATTTAGACGAGTTTCAGTCAACAGCTGAGTTTATGTCCATCGAAAACCTCAAGACCTTTGGTACGTCGCTCGCTTCTTCCCCCCTCGCTGCACATGCAGTCTGCCTCGCTGCATCACATCCTATGCATCGCAGCGTTGTTTTGTCGTTCGTCGACGCCCGGTTTCACAGCTGCTTGTCCCAGCCTGAAATGGCGGGGTAGGGTGGTTGGGTTATCATTTTTTTCCCAACTGTGGCTTGACAACACAACAACGATGCATGAGAAAAAATTTTTGAAAAATAGGCAGCCTGGGCTAATATTACTTCTTCTTCTCTCGCGATAGACCCCTTCGCCGAAGCTGACGAAGACACCGGCGACACTAAAAAGTCGCAAAATTACATCCATATACGGATTCAGCGTACGTCATTTTTTATTTTTTACCCTTTTCGCCCCCAACAAGGTGATCGTCTCATGACTAACGGTTCTTGTGTGCCTCAGAACGCAATGGTCGTAAGACTCTGACGACTGTCCAAGGTCTCCCGAAGAAGTTCGATCAGAAGAAGATCCTCAAGGTCATCAAGAAGAAGTTCGGTATGTCTGCCGCCGCGTCGTTGCCCGGTGAACTTAAAAAAAAATTACAGTCTGCAGTAGCTAACCGTGACCTCGTTGGACAGCTTGCAATGGCACCATCGTGAACGACACCGAGATGGGTGAGGTTATTCAGTTGCAAGGAGACCAACGCAAGGATGTCCAAGAATTCTTAGTCGACAAGAAGGAGGGACTTGAGCTTGATGCCAAGACCATCAAGGTATGTCTCGCCTACAAGAACTCACATGCGTCTCTGTCTTAAATAAAGAGTCATCCTATCTAACTCAGCTTATAGGTCCATGGTTTCTAAACGAAGCGTCACACCCCCTGTCCCGTCGCCGTCTTCCGTCTACCCCACAGACCCCTCGGATGGCTGCACTTGTACCCCAGGACCCGTCTTGCCCTACATGTGTGCCCGATCGTTCTCGTTCTCGTGTTCTGCGGAATTTACACTTTCGTAGAGCTGATGATGTCCGTTTTGACCGATGACGCACCACGCCAGACCAGATGCTGTCCTTACAAGTCCGGCCACCTCCGCCCGTCGGGGTTAGACGCACACCCCCGTTTGAAGATACCCCGGGTGCAACGTGACCTTCCTTTCTTCCACCTCTGTCGACTGTAAAACCAAAGAGGGGAGGAAATACGGTCACGATGCTTCGAACCGAATATTTTTAACGACAGCAACGAAGATTACGACAGGACAGGGAGGGAAAACAGTTACCACGTTCAGCTTCATAGGTGTTCTGTGAGCTGGCCGCTTGATTTTTCATCTTTTTTTCTTTTTCCACGCTTATTCTTACCAGCTCCCTTCACTCGTGCTTTTGATTGCTTGCTTCTTGTTCATGAATCGTTTTTCGATTATGTGCATGCAGCCTGTTACAGCACTTGTCCGACTCTCGTTAACCGCTATTCACCGATGTTTTGCTTTGCTTCCCGCTCTTGTTCCCTTTCTCGCATTGGGGATGGGATCGGGATGGGAAGGGAATCAGGTTATAGCGAATAAAATTTTTGAAAAACAGAAAATGCCAAATTATTATGTTTTTTGATCTCTCATACTTCTCGTAAATGAACTTCCAGGCCGGTAAAAAAAAGCTGAACCCTTTTAAGTGATAGTATATATAAGGGGGAACCAACAGGTACCTAATCAAGATCCAGGTGAAGAAATGAAAACAATAGGGGGAATATAGAAAGCAAGAAAAAGGAGGAAAAAGGGCAGGTCGATGCAAAAGGTAAGGATTAACGAAAGGAAACGATATCGAGTTCAAGACCCAACTCTCCGCTCAATCATCCACTGCATACTGGCATTCCAGGCTTTGTATATCATGACAAAAAGGGGTATCTCCGGCTCATTCTCACGCGACAAGTGAAGCTGCAGTAACAACGATGACATACTTATGAAACTTGCTATGGAGAAAACCGACAGCGAAGCCTTGGTTTCTTTCTTGATATTTATCTTGCGTTGGGTAAGGTGGTAGAGCAATGTGAGGATCTGCATACGTAGAAAATAGGGGTAAGTGGCGGTGGCCCTTCTGAGGAGGTGGAGTGAAGATGAAAAACTGACTGAGGTGATTGATATCCAGGCCGGGAGGAGTAGACGAGGATCAGAAGAAGCACCAGAGAGATAAAGAATCCAGGATGTGAGATAGGCGATGAGGCAGTTTATAGTGAGAAGCCGGATGATGACTGCTGGGGGAGTATAGTTCACGAGCCTATAGATGTGTTAGATTATTTATTTGAATACAGTTGAATGGAAGCGGCATACCATCTTGACATCATACAGTCAGCGAAGAAGTATGATAAATATGCAGAGGCAGAGCACTATGACGTGGGTGTTAGTATGATTTCCATCCTTTTTTTTCTTGCAGTCAGGCCATATGAGGGCATTTACGCACCCACATAATGGCCAATGCCACCTCAGTCACCCGAAACCGCCTGTCCACATTCCAATCCACAGCTGCCCCCCGAACGACAACCGCCGTCCATCCTTCCTGCCATATATGTGGACTAATACGAAGCAATTCAGCCAGAAACGTGAACGCACAGCGAAGCCCCCACCACGCAGCTGGGAGAATGCTCAGAGCCCGACATACTAGTAGCGGAATATACCACCGACGGTCAACGCCCAGTATCACCGCCACTCGCGGATGTAGTCTGTTTGAAGTAACGTCTCTCGGTACAGGGATATCACCCGCAAGGCCAGGGGAAGGAGGAAGACTGGCGGAAGTCGACGAGGGGGCAGCGGGAGACGTAATTGAAGACGACACCGCGGCTGGTCGAAGGGAATGGTTCGTTGTCGCTTCTCCAGGTGCGTCCGGATCTAAGGGCGGGTTAAAGGGAGAGTTCCGGTTGCGAAGGCCAGGGATAAAAGCATTGCGGCTGCGGGTTCGTGATGGTTGGAGAGGAGGAAAGGAAGGGATTTTGAGAGTAGACGCCAGTCTCAATTCACGGCATAGAAGCCGTTACTCTTTCTGCCTCAAACGGCGATATATGATTCTCCTATAAGAGGGCTCACCGACTACTGGCGATATCGTGGCAGCTTCCAGCGGTGTTTCAGCAAGACGGTGGTGTTGACCTTGTTTTGTTTCCCCACAGTCACCGATAAGCGTCGAAGCAGGTAGAATTGGATCAGGCTGAAGAGGTAGAAGTGGTATCAACGGCCGTGCAGCTCGAGATAGACGGTCTGTGGTTCTGAGCTGTTGCCGAAATTATACGACTCCCGACCTCCTTCGTTTAGCAGTACAATGTGTCAAAGTGCGCCTTGGTTGTGATCTGTCTCGTGTGGTGACGTGTAAGGCGTTAACGGGGGGAATATGGGTATCTGAATAACAGTCAGCACTCATGGCCATCAGCACCGTAGAAGAAAAGAGTTCAACCAACCTGTCCGAAGCTCCAAGGAACCCCGAGAAATATATCGAATTGAAATATTTGAAGCCGGCGAAGAGAACAATCGTTAAATTAAGAGAACAAAAGGAACGATAAAGCGCAATAATCTTAACTTTACGACGTCACTGCTTAATAAGAGATCTTACTAAGGGTCACACGACATCAACTAAGGTATATCCATGTCTCGTGACTTCTTGGCATGACTAAGTAATATATCGCCAGAATGCGGAGGAATCATGCTGATTAATAAACCATTACACATGTTGGCCAATTTTACAAAAACTACACCATTCGACCAATAGGATATCATTTAATGGTAATAATACACGCATACCGGATAAACAATTGAGCTTTCCGAACCCAGAATGGACTAGCGCCTTCCTCATCCCAAGCTTCGAAAGTTGAAGATCAAAAAAAAAAGGACGAAGAAGCAAAAGGCGAAGAATCGACAATTGAGAAGAAGCCGGAGACGGACAGGATACGCTCTTTTTCCTCCCGGGCGGAGAGGCAGTCAAGCGTCAGATATTAGCTCTTTAATTGACAGATTATACCCCTGTCCGGGCTGCGCTGCAGTCACCAACGACCGGCCAATATGAATTCCTCCATACCACGGGCACTCTCCTCCACCCTTGCCCTCCGCCCTTCCTCCCGCTCAGTGGTCTTCCAATGGCCCTCGAAATGCGCCGCACGATCGTTCTCACAGTCCAGCTTAAGAGCTGGAATGACCGCTCCTAAAGTCATGGCCCCAAAACCTCCAGCGCAAATGAGCATGAAGAACCGTCTACAGGAGACCATGAGGGGGATTAATAAGGAGATGGTGCCAGATGATATCGGAATACTGCCCGGTACCTTTATTCGACCAGTATGGAAGAACCTCCCCTCGTGGTTTTCGGACCCAAAGACAAGATTGCACATGGAGTGGATGCACTGGAAGATGAAGTTTTTGAACTTCATGAGGTCTGTCCTGGCCGTCCCATTACTTTGTACATCGAGAGAATGTCAATGCTGACAAAGGGCTGCATGTAGTTTGTTTACTTACTGCAAATTCATAAATAAAAAATTACCTCTGCGCCTTCGAGAACGGAAGAAGATGGCAATTGAACTTCACAAGCGCATGTATAACCATTTTGCCAGGTATGAGGCTCCGCACACATATATCATTGCAAGGGCTATGCTAATTATACTAATCACAGTGGTAATCTCGGTGCCCTGCAAACCTACTGCTGCATTGGCATCTTCGAATCGTTCTTTAAGCGCGTTGTCCGACGACCTGCTAGCTCTCCCGAACTTATTTGGAAACTACATAAATACCTCAAATTCCCCCATTCCATGACCATAACCGGTGCTCGTGTGGTGTCAGATCGTGCCGCAGCTCTACCCAATGCAACAGGCATGGGAATCAGACAAGTTGTTGTACGAATACAAAGCCGGCAGTCTCTCATCACCCCACCTGCGCCTATAGCCCGCCTAAGTGAGAAACAGATCCAAGATATTGAAAAACAACAGCAGGAAAAGCAAAAGGACTGCACTGAGTACATTGTTCTTCAGAGGTTTATGTTGGGGGGTAAAGATGGGGAATGGAAGGTCTGGGGCTTAGCGGATGAGACAACTACGGAGGACCTACGGACAAACCCGATGTTTATGAAGGGGATAACGATGAAAGACCGACTTGAAATGATGGCGGCTAGCAGATGATGTTGGTCAGTCTAATATAAAGTGTAACATTTGTCGTGGTTTTTTGGAAGCGTTTCTGTCAATGTATTTTTATAGTATAAGAGCTTCTGGACAGTCTCCTTATAAATCTGTAGATATACGAGCATATTGGGATTTCTAATTTTCTACTTCTTGCCCGTGATATATATGCAATGTTGGCCCTGAGATTCACGGCTATCTAATATCCCAAAGTTGCAGTTTCACAGTCCTCAGTCTAAGTTATAGATAGCGAGTCTACCGAGGTGCCCGGAATTTGGCACCTTCTTCATCATTATTGCGGATAGTCGCATCTGTCCCGGTAGCAATAAAGTCTGGCTGGTCCAAATGCATAGGCCCAGCAGCCATATGAGAACGTGGGAGTGGGTGGTCGAAGACGTCAAAGTGTCGTCCCGTTGTCTTTGAAAGAACGAATGCATATCCAACTCGTAGGCCGAGAGCAATACAGGCAAATATCAAACCACCAATAGGGGCAGCAACAAAGGCTCCTATCTCGTAGTTAGCAGGCAAGTTCTAAGCTATAGACGAGAACGGGACATACCAAATGCACTCCAATCATTGGCATATAGGCCATTTTGTAGAAGAATCAATTTTCCTCCCTCAGTGGCATTGCCGTAGTAAATGGTACCGAAGATGAACACGGACAGTATACCACCTAGACCACCAACAATAACCTCGAAGGCAGTCCACCAGTACATTCTCTCCGAGAGGCCCAGGACAAGCACAGGAATGGCAGATGCTGAAACAAGGTCGGAAATCAAGAATATCCGCAAGACACTCGGCGATCGAAGGGCGACCACAACAACTGGTACAATGCATAACACGACACCAATACGAACGTATATCAGAGGCAGCTTGTTCCGAAAGACATCGTTGCTAGCAGTGCTAACCATGGCGGATTGAAGACTGTCGAATGCAGCCGTGCTCAGAGCAACTGTCATCACCAAGACGATTCCAACAACCCAATTTGGTAGCTTCTCCAGCAATAGGAAGAACGCAATTGAGCCGGCTTGGGGAGGGTCTCCAGGCCATACACCAGACCATGCTGCCAGAAGACCCGTAGACCCAACAAGAACTAAGATACAGAGGACGACGAAACTAGCAATTGAGATTCCAATTCGTAGATCACGATCTGTCTTGGAGGCAAAGGTTCGTAGCCAGAGGTTCGACAGGAAGAAGTCATTGGTTAGGATGGCTACCGGTAGAATGTAAATGAGCTGCCATCCTAGAAGAGTCGGCTTTAGAAGACCTGAAGAATCGATGAGCGACTTGTCGATATCAGTCCTAGCTCCAACGGTGATGACTGCAATGATGATAAGGCCAACAACCATCGCTCCTTGGACGTTGTCCGTCAAGAAAGAAACCTGGAAGCCACCGAGAGAGGTATATATGGTTGTCACTACGACCTGGACGATGACTGCCGGGAGCCCATTGAGTCCTGAAAGGGCTGTGACAATTTGCTGTAAAGCTGAGAGCTCAGCAACCATATATAAGAACAAAGTTATCAGCCTGTACTACCGTTAGTATATGTATCGTACGTCAATTATAATAGCAAAACTCACGTCAAGATGCTGAGATATATGCCAGCAACCACGCCATAACGCTGTCGAGTCCATTCAGTCAAGACAAACACTTCAGGGAACTTCCTTCGAATAATCGGTCCAACAAAAGCGAATGCCAGGAGAGGCAGTGCTGACGAAAGTCCATACACAACCAGCCCCTGGACACCCGCAATAGTAGCAATCTCAGGATATGTAAATAGAATTCCCGATCCAAGAGCTGTATCTCATTAGCATATCTCATAATTTCGGTCAAAAAAACATAATATATCAGGGGGGAAGAAAGGGGGAAGAAGCGGCAGCACGTTTCCCACGCAAGCATTATCTTGATCGAGTATTCAACGGTACATTCTCAGCATCATGTCTGCACTGGATTCAACGATCTCATCGGCCTGAATAATGGGCCGACGTTGGATCATCGATGGCATGTATGTCCAGTGCGACAATCAGCACCCGTAGTGTTGCCGCAGTGCGTGTCGTCCCGAAGTCTTGACGTCTCCAAGACAACACGCACCGAACTTGAATTCTCTGATACGAACCTGGCTTTACTTATGCATAGCTGGTCACTCTGATAATCCTTCCGCATAGTTCGAACATCTGCTTGACTATGGATGCTGACTCTCTGGCTTCGAACGCTGCCGCTTCTCATGAGAGAGAACTGTAGAAGCCTCGCATTATTCTGCTTCCTTCATGCAACTCACCCGAAGCAATGAAGTTCAAGGCAAGCGGTATAGCTGTGACAGAGGTATTAGCATCTGTAACTTGTGCGATAATAGAAGAGCAAGTAGTTATGGCCTGGGATATAAGTTATATATCTCTTTCTAACCCTTTTGTGTCCCGTTGCTGGACAAGAATTCGCCCTTGGTCTGATTCCGCAGACGCCATGCGATATATAGACCGACGACACTGTGATAGAAATGTTATTTAGCTGTCATATGCATCTTGAGCCAGGGTAGGGCATACAGGAATGCGCCGTAGGTTAGGTAGATCAGGGCGTTTGAGGCTTGAAACGACGGCTGGCCCATGGCTGAGTTTTGATATCCCGCCGCAGTACTCCGTAGTTATCTGGTCGATGCTCGCTAACTGCTTGAAAATAGATAAAAAATAATGAGAAATACAGATATATGATATTTAACGATAGCATCCAGAGATGAAAAGAGAGCAAGTGAAGGAATTTTTTCATCTCATGATCAATCTCGGCAGAGAGCAAGAATCGTCTGTCTTTAGCGGCTTCTTGGGGCAAAAGTAATTATGGACCATGGTCGTTGCTTTTGAAGTCTCTCGTATTCAACACATTTAACACTACACATTGTCTGCAATTATGGTGAATGTAGACGATGCAGATGCCATTACTACTAACCAATGCTAAAATTGTATATGTGTCAAACAGATGGATATTAGATAGCAGCACATCTACCCTACCAAGAAGATACAAGAACAGGGCCTCTTATGTACGGGAACATATTGAATGAAACCGAGAGGAAATAAGGCAGAAGATCCAGAAATATGCCTATCAAGTATCCAACCCTTTGTTCATTCGTTCGTTCATGCATGGGTAGCTTATATCTCGTCATCATCCAGTATCCGAGTATATTCGTCTTATCGTGTATTGCCGTGTAGATTTGCATGCTTTTTAGTTTAATCGTCGTCGAAGATCTGGAGTGTGTTTTGTAGTATTGTTTCAATTACTCGGGCTTGCCAGCCTGAGTCTGCAATGTTACGGCCTGCGTTGGTGCCCATGAGAGTGAGACTGGAGGGAGGGGATTAGCATGGAAGATCATAGGAAGAATTTGAGAGCAATGTCAAGCGTACCCAAAGCTGATGGCGATGTTGCCGGCATTCATCCTGTTCTCGGAGCTCCGTTCTTGAACATGGTTGAGATGCTGTTGAGCGTTAGTATACAGCCGAGGCCTGACAGTCAGATACTTATTCTTACCAGTATCAGTGCTCGAAGAGTTGCATAGTTGGGGTCCGGAAGACTGTTGATCAGTGCATGCAGCGCATCTCGACGCTGGATATCATCGTCCTTGCCTATTCTACGAGTTAGAAATATACCCTACTGTAAAATAAGTGTAATCACATACGTGCTGCGTCGATAAAGGCCGAGTACCGTTCATTAGTGAACAGTGGATCGGGCAGGTCTCTAAAGAAAAGTTTCAGCAGACCAGCAACGCTGTTGACGTCATGGTAGAAGTTCTCTGGGTTGGTGAAGTCGACTTGTGATGAATCTAGAAGAGTAATCAGCTTGTATCCACTGTACGTCAAAAAAGGAGCGGGCATACCGTTATCGAACAGGCTCTTCATATGGGCTATGTGGTTAGTATTTCCTGAAAGCCGGTAGATACCCTCTACATTCAGCCCAAAGAGCTCAATGGCCTGGATACACTGATACACAACCATGGGAATGGCAGTGCCGTCTCTCTTGAATAGCTCATCCAAAGTCAGGCCAAACACGGGGTTAAGCGGTGGTAACTCCGGGTGAGCATTGGGTGGGATATCACTTATAGATGGCCGTGGTTGGGCATGCTGAGCGAGTTGAGGCGGAGGCTGGTATGAATGTTGTTGCGAGTAGGTAGGCTGCATTGAAGATGGGTTGCTATACTGCGGTGTTGACGTCGGGAACGGAGGCTGGGAGGTCCATGAGTCTCGCCGTTGCTGCATTGATAATGGCGATCCTTGAGCTCCGGACGAGTCTCGGGGTATGGGGGACATTGTATTAAATACCTGAGATGCAGATTGAGGCGGTGGAGTTGGATTCGCATTTAGACTGAGAGATTGTCTCTTTGGATGGGCATTGGGGTTTGAGGCGGGCATTAGCGTCTGCATATGTTAGTATATAGTGTCTCAATTGCAGTGAACTATGGGCCCACATACAGCATGTCTTTCGTATTTGAGAGCTGGCTTGGTGTCAGGGACTTTGCTAGACTGGCTGATGATGAAGTCTCTAAAGTCTTGCTCGTTGTCGACCCGTTTGGCGGCCTCTCTCAGACTGTCTGGAGTGGCGCTCCCAGTCTTCATGGGACTGACAGCCAGGCCACTTCCGAGTAGCAGTTTCTCACTAAACGATGCTATACCATTATTAGCATAACGGAGCAATGCACAATTGAAAGCAATAATTAGGCCTACCGAGCTTCTGCAATTGAAGGGTACACCCCGAATCGCACTCCATGATCAAGTCTTGCAATGCCCTGGTAGCCTGTGGTCTCAGCGTAGCAACAAGCTCCTGTCTCTGTGTCTGCGCAGCCTGCACTTTGGTCGAGTAATCCGAATCTGCCTGCTGGAGTTTCCGCAACAGATCCTCCTCCTGCTGAGCCGCCGACTTGGGTCCCTTGAGACCAAACTTGCCGCCTTGTCTCTCGCCCGTCCTAGCCCGATCATACTGTTCAGCCAGACTGTCGTATTTGGCCTTTGCCTTCTCCGCCAACAGCTCTGCATCCTGCACTCTCTTCTCGGCCGTCAGTCCGTTCTGCTTCCACTGTTTACGCCCGCGTTCCATGCTGGCGGCGAGATCGTTCAGTTCCTCCGCCATTTGCATTAGGGATTGGGAGAAATGGACTCCATGGTCGGAAATGCGGTCGTGAATCATGTTCATTTCGTTGTAGCTGCGGGCAAAGCTGCCCTGGCGGTTGTCCTGGCGCATGGCGGAGTCGTGCATTGCCCGCGCGAGCTTCTTGAGGCCCTGGGCGTGTTCATCTTCGAGGACGGAGCGTTTGCGTAGGAAGGTAGCGAGGTCCTATTCCAGTCAACTTCTTATTTTTTTTTTTATCGTAGTGCATGCAATGGTATGTACGTACTTTGGCAGAGGAGATGCTTTGCTTCAGGCGAGTGAGCAGGGTCACGACTCCGATCTATATAGACTGTTAGGATTCCGATCAACAGACAGCAGCCAGCAGACGGGGGGTTAAGGTAGAGAGACGCACGTCCGACTGCAGCACCCTGTCGACCTGTGCCTGGCTCTCTGCGAGCTGTGGATTCTCAATCTCCTTCTCTGGCTGCGAGGACACCGGCGTCTCCCTGTCTGACTGCGGCGATGTGGCGACGTCCAACCCGGGCTCTGCCATGGCTGCAATCGCTGTCTGGCTGTCGAAGCACCGAAGCACCAGCGGCCGTCCTGTCTATCTATCTGAATGCGACTATCGCGTCTTGAAACCGACTCTGCGCTGTGGTTCAAGATGGCCGTTTATCAGGGGGAGGCGAAAGTGGAAGAGGGAGAGAGGAGTGAGTTTGATCTCAAGTCTCACAGTGTTGACACCAAATATTAGTTAGTTATAACTACTCTAGCCACTGAGAGGACGATGAAGCGGAAGAGTCAGCACGAACAGACTGCAGGCTTTCTTGATGCAATTATTTCTGTGCCTTGCATGCGACGACGATGGCTAGATAAAACATTTATATGTGCAGTCTGTCTAATTTCGGATTGGTTCGGCTTTTTCCAGCATCTTTGGGCGGTTGTTTAGGTGTTTACTAGGGGGAGGACGAGGGGGACAAGCCACACAGCTGCGTCACGGCGGCAGAGATAGACGAGATAAACTGATAGCTAGATAGACAGACAGTGGCTAACTAACTACTGGGGCTGGAAGACAGCTTTCGAGGTGGCACAGCAGTTTGACGGCTTGCTGCTTCTTTTCTTCTTCGTCCTGGCGGTTGACAGGTCGGTTCAGGGGTTCGCCGGCGATACGAGTCAAGCGCTGCAGCTGATGCCTGAAGCCTGAAGCCTGAAGCCCCAAGCCTGGGGATACATGGTCTCCATGGCAATTGATGGTAGCTGCTGCTGTGTAGCCTGTAATGTCAAGCGGGCGTCTATCAATTGTCAACCCCTGACTAGGCAGCACACGACCACATCGCCATCTAGATGTCCAGACACCCCTCGAAAATAACGAATATAACGTCGAGATGACATCAGCCGAGGTCCCGCGGCTATCGTGGCAAGGAGACGAAGAGGAGCCCGTCTAAATATATAAGAGCTGCATCCTAGCAGATAGCGCTGGAGCAAGTCATATATAAGTAGCCACCGCAGCCACCAACTCTCTCGATTCAATTGACAGAGAGACACACAGACAGAGCAGCCATGGCGTCAACGGCAGTGCACATCGTGGCCATCATCACGCCCAAGCCAGGCAAACATGACGAAGTACGAGTTTCAACCCTCGATAACCAAATTGGCTCAAGTCGACTGACACCCCCAGGTCGCCAGGATCCTCGCCGAGACGGCTGAGAAGGTCAAGGACAACGAGCCTGGAGCCCTTACTTACTATGGCCTCTTGGATCGAAAGTCCCATGAAATCATCGTCGTCGAGAAGTGAGTAGATGCGTGTACCTGTAAAATTGCGGTGGATAGGGGCTGACGAAAGGTACCTCTGTAGGTACGTCAATATGGACGCCGTCAAGGTCCACGGCGGCTCCGAGCACTTTAAGGCCTGGTCCAAGGCTGTTGGACCGTTGCTCGCTGGCCCACCAGTGATCAAGTATGCAAGCCAGATCGGAGGATTCGAATCCAGGTCGAAGCTATAGAAAAAAATAATCGATAGTTCATGTTGCACATAATCGAATACTCCTTTAGCCAGCCTTTGTATAAATAGCACTGCTATGACACTCAAGCTTTTCTCCCGAGCCGTGCTGGTCCTGTAATCCCTTGCACTGCATGAATAGGGCTGCTACAGCTGTGCCACCGGGAACTTGTCCTCCCTACTACCCCCCTCGCCCCTCGCCCCTGAACGGTTCAAAATGTAGATACTCCGGTACGGAGTAAGTAGTTAAATGCTAGCGGGGTTCCAGGTTCAAAACTAGATCTCTCACGGAGAAGAACAACGGCCTCTGGAGAGATAGCTGATTGTTCAATATATTCAATTCTCAAAGAGAATATGACGACTGTGATGTCAGCCGCATGAACTTCTTTTTAGCCGCCGAGTTCGGTGTCGTCCGCCCATCCGTCTCGTGTACCGTCTCCCTGCCTGGTTAACCTGCTACTACCTGACCCAGTCGGTGATCCATCCAGTGGACTGCGGTTCCAGGGGTCAGGATGAACAGGAGGTGCACTAGGGCAAAAACTCTCCTCCACTCATGGTTATGCGCCCGAGGATAGCCACCGATGCCATTGGCTGCAGCGATGGAGATGAGACATGCCGCCAAGCGAGTTGGATCTCCAATCGTCTGCTGTAGAAGAAGATGAAGAGTGAAGTCGGAGTCGAGTTGTAGTCGAAGCCGTAGAGGTGGGTTGTGGTAGAGCATCGAGCAGCGTTCATCCATCTGTATCTTCCAGAGTGATACGCCGTGCCAACAGTTTGACGCCGTCTGCCCCCTTTTCTCCTGCTATATCCCACGATCTAACGCCCTGTAAGCACCTGGCCTGTCCTTAAGAGGGCTTTTCTTGTCTGTTCCCACCGTCCAGGGCTCGCTTTTTCAGTGCGTTCTCCCGAGCTAGTTCAAAAAATAAAAAAAAAATTAAGGCCGGCATCCATCCCCTATCCTTGCGCCAGACCGAAGCAACGAGATAGACAGACCAGACAAGACAGACAAGACGACCAGACGACGCAGAGCCAGGAGAAAGAGCTCTATCCTGTCCATCGACGTAGCCCGCACGCCTTGAATACCACCGTCAATTGCGTCTTGAGGACCTGTTGCTGCTGCTGCTGCTGCCCCCTTGCCGTCCTCCCACCGCGGGACATCCATCCAGCCCTCGCAACCCCGTCACCGCAACAACGAGGAAGCTCTCCCACGGCCGAATAACGCAGCTTTTATATCCCCCTTCGCACGCTCGCTCGAATAAACGGCGTCTCGAGCGGCCGTCTGTCTCTGTCTCCCTGTGGGCTGGTGTTCTCGCTGGAAAGTGAACTAACTAGTCCTTGCTAACGCGCCACCAAAGCTGGTTTTTTGATATCTTCGAGCAACAGAAGAAGAACCTCCCTAGAGACTCTCTCGCGCTCTCTCTCCCTCTCTCTCTCGACCATCACTACGCAGCCACCTTTCTGCTGTCAGCTTGTTTGTTTGTCTCTGCAGGCTAGTCAAAAGGTCTTTCACTCGCCTTTGTCTCTCCCTCTGCTGCTTTCTTCCTGGCTGACTCTCTCTGCTTGTCACAGCTGCTCTTGTATCCTCTGCTTCACCCACCGCGTCTCCCACAGATCAACAACAGACTCACACAGGACAGCAGAAGATGGCTTCTGGTCCGGCTACTCAGTCGCTGAAAGTTGGTTTTTCCTTGCGATATCACCAGCTGTGTCGAGGCGTTGCTAACTGTTTTATTCTGCAGTGCGTCGTTACTGGTGACGGAGCCGTGGGCAAGGTGCGTTTCTCTCTATAACAATAACAACAACATCTACATCTACATCTACAACCATGTCTACATCTACAATATCTACATCTTCTGGTCCTCTGCTAACAGCCTCTAGACATGTCTGCTCATCTCCTACACGACCAATGCGTTCCCTGGAGAATACATCCCCACCGTGTATGTTGTGAAGAGACCCCGAGACCACCGCGTACCAGCGCCGCCAGCTTGCATACCCCTTGCTCACACTGCTATTTCTACTGCTCCAGGTTCGACAACTACTCGGCCAGCGTCATGGTAGACGGGAAGCCCATCAGTCTCGGGCTCTGGGACACTGCTGGTCAAGAGGACTACGACAGACTACGTCCGCTCTCCTACCCGCAGACCGACGTGTTCCTGATATGTTTCTCCATCGTCAGCCCCCCCTCGTTTGACAACGTCAAGGCAAAGGTACGGCCCCTTCGACGCGTGGCGGTTTCAATGAAGAAGAGAACAGCTTGTTAAATAGCGTCTATAGTGGTATCCCGAGATCGAACATCACGCGCCAAACGTACCCATCATCTTGGTTGGCACCAAGCTCGACCTCAGAGAGGACAAGGCCACCGCAGACGCTCTCCGGTCCAAGAAGATGGAGCCAGTCTCCTACGAGCAGGCCCTCGCAGTCGCAAAGGAGATCAAGGCCCAGAAGTACCTCGAGTGCTCTGCTCTCACCCAGCGCAACCTCAAGAGCGTCTTTGACGAGGCCATCCGGTAGGGCTCTCCTGGACACCGTACATACAACTACAACTACAACTTTCTAACACGTATCACTAGAGCCGTATTGAACCCTCGTCCAACTCAGAAACCAAAGAGAAAGTGCCAGATACTCTAGATTCATTCTCTAGATGCAGATACGTTCCAGCGATCAACGACCTTGAAGTGCAGAAGATACATAGATCTCCTTTCCTCGACCATTCTCTCCCCCAAATTTACCGCTACCATCCCCCAGCCACAGCCGCAGGCCCGACGACTACACCACTACATAACTCCGAGCCATCCCTCCAGATGCGAAACCTGCAATAACCTTCCAAATCCCGTTCTTTCTACCTGTTTGTTTCCGCCTTTACCGATTTTTAATGACGAGCGTTTCTCATTTTTCCACCACCTTCCTGCATTTGGGACGGAGCAACTGCTCGTACTGCAAGGTTATCTCTTCATCCATCTTCTCTTCTTCTTCTCTTTCTTCACACTTGACGAAGTAAATACAACTATTCCAGATATCACGAAACCAAAGTCTCCCTCTCTGTCCTTCCCTTCGTTTGTTTACTTATGATGACACCCCCCTTTTTCCCTTTCAAACTCGCCTGTGGAGAATATCTGTTACACCCCGACTCCATACATCTGCGTCCCGAGCTCTGCATCCCTGTTCAAACTTCCCTCCCGGCTCTTTAGTCTTCTCTGTCATGTTAATTGTGCCTGGTTTCAATTCTATCTTATCCCCCTCCCCTTTCTTACCCCTGGATCGGATCTTTAATACCCTTTCCTTGGCTTTTCTTCTTCACCACCAAAGCTTCAGCTTGTTTCTTAGTGCTCCTACATAATTAATTTCTTACCTGTTTTACCTATTCCGTGCCCTCTTTGCTTCTTATCTACGTCCTTTTCCCCTTTTAACGATTCAACGGGGCTGGATGGAAAGTGGCTGTGCCGTGACAGTCAGTTTGGTCCTTATCTAGCGCTCTCTCTCACACATAGGTAGCTCGCCTCGTATGCAGGTACAATGTTGAAAACTTGCAAGTCACAGCGTTCATAAATCCATAGATGATGCTAGACGCTCTATTATGATTGACATCAACTGAAGAATTGCAGCTCCTCTCCTCTTCCAAGGCCAGCATTATATCAATATAATACAAGAACACGACGCCTGCTAAACGCCAATCCCAATCCAAATCCAAAACAAACCAACACTTTTTTTGTGAAGAAGCAAGCTTGTAGAAGTTATACGGGGACTCTCGCCCTTCGGCTAGGATGGATATGCGACTGATCATCAGCCGCAGATGTGCCGGCTCCATTGGTCGTGGCAGACGCCGTCTTGGCCCGTTTGGCCTCCTGCGCATCTCGGGCTCGCTCCTCGTTGAGTTTCTGGTTCTTCTCCAGGATCTTCATCTTCCTCGCTTCAGACTTCGAGCCGCCTCCTCCGGCACTGTATGGGGTACGTTAGAACGTCTTATCTGACAAGGTAAGCTTGCGGGTCAAAGGGGTAGTAGACTCACGTTAGTTCCACCTTGATCTTGCGGGCCGGTTTATCACCGTCTTCAAACATCGTGCCGTGGTACTGTTTTAGACAGGTCTTCATGCGGTCGAAGCCAGCGAATTCAACAAAGGCGAATCCACGGCCTTTCTTCCCGCCTCGCTCTAGTGGGACACGGACGGAGGTTGGTTGGAGCTTTTCAAAGTGTTTCGTGACGGACTCTTGCGTGGCGGTGAACGGTAGGTTGCCTGCAGACGTTAGCAATGGTAACCCAAGAAAGACATCAAGTAAAAGTAAACATACTGATGAAGACTATGAATCTCTGGCTCTTCCGCGCTTCTTCCATCTCAGCGTCTCCTACTGCGCCTTCAGCAGCCTCCTCGGTGCCGTTCTCGGCGGGTGTCTCTGTATCAGCTGGAGCTGGAGCAGCTGGTGTAGATTGTTCCTCTTCTACATCTGCGCCATTGACACCATTCTCTTCCTGCTCCTCTTCCTTTTCTTCATCCTTGAGTTTCTTTTCCTTCTTTTCCTTCTTCTCTTTCTTCTCTTTCTTCTTCTCTTTTTTCTCCTTCTTCTCCTTCTTATCATCCTGTTCGGTCTTGTTCTCTTCCGCGAGCTTCGCTCTCTTCTCCATCCTCTCCTGTTTTGCCCTCTTATACTTGTCCTCTCTCTTCACCTTCTTGCTCTTCTCTGCCTTCTGGACTCCATTCGGCTCCCCGTCCACCTCCATCTTGTCCTCGCCGGCGGCACCATTGGCTTCTTCTCTGGCCTTCTTCTTCAATTCCTTCTCTAGCTTCTTCTTCTCCTTCTTTTCCTTCTTGTCTTTCTTGGTCTTCCTCTCCTTCTTCACCTTCTCCTTGTCGCCGCTCTTTATCTTCTTAGACGACTTTCCGAGATCAACCACCGCTCCATCGTTCTCGTCGACGGCAGCTTCGTCGCGTTTTCGCTTATCGCCCATGATCGTGGCGGTGATATCTCGTCTTCTCGGCGGGGTATAGAAATGTCAGCAAAACAATTAGGTTCAGCGGTCCTTGGATGTTGTGGTCTCGAGGCAACACACGTCTTCACGCCCACTGATTATCCAAAATAAATCGCATCAACACGACTGAATCTTTTTGCTTCTTCTTTTCCTTCAAAATCCAGAAAAAAAAAAAAAAAAAAAACTTTTGTGGATCCAAAATTCTGCCGGCCGAGGAATTAAAGGCGGTGAGAGGATTAAGGTTAGAACCTAGTTTGATTAGTAATAACTTTTGATTATGTCATCTTGAAGATCCAAAGGTTTTCTACATAGAAGAAAAAGGCATTGAGAACGGATTGTGAAGGATAATTAACTGATATATATTGTTTTAGCGAGCATATGCTTGTAAGATGTAGGTTATGTACTTTGGGTAAGGGAAAGTGAGCGAAGGTTACAGGATGGGCATAGAGTCCCGGCGTAGCTTTTAGCATTAATCAAGAACACATTTGATAGAGGTTTCATTAAATGTTATGGACATACTCCGTATAGCTACTTTTCATAGGGGAATTGAGAACAGTTGCTTCTAGAAATGCTGTGGAGGCTGTCTTATGTCATATCTCAGGGTATGTATCAACAAAAATTTTGGATTGTAGTGACATGCTACTCTGAGGGTATCAATATACAATAATTTGCACTTTATCGCTTTTCTTAGACTGGTATCGCTCCCTTAGTTCAGCCCGATTGAGAAACTCCATAAGAGGAAAATGAAGCTCCTTCATATCAAATATGCCACGCTTCTTTTGGTCAACATAAGACCCGTCAACGACGATACGCTTCAACGAATCAAGCTTTAGTGATCCTACAACCGCCTGTTAATTATATATCTTGAAACAAGTGTAATTACTCATCTTACCTGACTTCACAAGATCGTTTAACCTGACCGGTGTTCCAATACCTATACCTATTCTATTCGGAGTCAGCAAATAAATGATCTGATAGCAAATTGGTCAAAGTGACATACCTTGTCTTTTCAACTGTTTCCTGAGCTTCTTTTAGCTTTATGTGTTTGGCAAACAGCTTGGCAACTGCACAATCTTGGTTTTGGAATTGCCGTAATGCTCTTGAAGTATGTTAGCATCATATCCTCCGCCTGAGCGACCTTGGTATTCCTACCTCGTTATCTCCGCCGCTCTGAGACCGGCCAGAGTGAAGACCAGGGTATGTGGGGATCCTTTGACTTCGGAAGCCTTGGAGAGTGATTCGCCTTTCTCTAAACTGAACGCTTTTAAGAAGGATGGCATATTATCGAGTTCACGAGAGGATTCCCAGGATGAGGTATCGAGAAATGCATGTTCTATGCAAAAGTTAGATCCAGTACATCAGAATAACCTGATACTACAAGAATTTAACCTACCTGGGATGTAGAAATCGTCCAATTCCACAGCAGTCAAGTTCTTGTTATGCCTCTTGACTCGTTGGACAAAGTAATCGCCCAGCAGTTTCCCATCCATCTTCCCAATGGACTCGTCAATCCCTCCGTCTTTGCCCATGACCTTATTCGCATCGTATTCATCCCCACCTTTCGCACCCTTCGACCGTTTCTTCTTTTTCTTCTTGCTGGGCTGTTGTACGGGAGCTGCACTGGATGTGTTTTCTGTGCCATCTTCCTCCTCGACACGTTTTCGCTTATTCGAGCCCGCGGGCGCATCCTTTGAAATTACCGACGCCATCATTGTAAAGTATTCTCCCTGCGTCACCTGTCAATCGTCCTATCCTGCGTTTTCGTCTTCCATTTCTTCGCCCATCGAAATTTCCTTTGCGATAAGAAAAAAAAAGTTGCGGCTCTTATCGTGCTTAGTCAGCTTGTTATCGCAACTTTCCGCGTCGCGAACTTTTGGAGAATCAAACGGCCGAAGAAACAAAAGTCAACAGCATCTCGACTTTTGGTCTATCCTTGAATCTGTTTGCTGCTGGAGCTCAGGAGCACTCAGGACGATAGGTCTGCCCAGTATGCCGATATCAAACGGTCGTGGCAAGGGGGAGACTCCGCTAAACTCGGCGGGACCAAGCTCCAGCCCTGCCAAAACACCTTACAATGCAGTATGATGTCCCCTTTAACTGTGTATATTACAGCCTCGACCTAACATTCTGGCATAGCTGTTTAAGTTATCAAGATTGGTTGGAGCTCCTTCGACTCCAGCCCAGCAGAATGCTGCCTCTTTCAACTCGAATTTACCGTCGGCGCCCCGGACTGGCCGGCGGAAATCAGGGATAACACCGGCCAGAGCTCGGGGAGGTGAACGCATTCCAGTAACCCCCCATGCGATCCGGGCATTACAAAGGCGTGCAGCTACATATACTCCCGGTCGAGATAGGCGGAAGAGCCAGCGCTTCAAGCGGGAGACACCGATGGATATATTAAAGAACTTGGGAAAAGGTCGGTCATTGTTCCCAGTGCTAGAATGAATATACGTCTGATGCTGACCCCTACGATGCAGTTCTCGCACCAATATCCAAGACGGTATCTTCCTCTCCACCGACTGAGCCAGAGCCGCAGCCAGAGCCACCGGTGGACGAGATCGCCGAGCTAGACAAGGAGCCTCCTATTCCTCCACCTCGGCTTTCATTACCACTGAACGAAATGGCTCTGGATCAGGATGATAACAGCCCTCCGATACCTCCGCCTAGGTTATCAGTCCTCCCTGATGATGAAGATGTTACCAGGGGATCGATCGAGTTGCCTAGGAGAGAGCGGTCAGGTCGCGATTTGGCTAGGTTATCGAGAGTAAGCTTCGCCAGTAACCGGTTCAGTGACCATTACGGAGACACAACAAACATTGAAGACCCTGAGGATGGGTTGGACTTTCGTGTTGGACAAGAAGATGACTTCGACGAGGATCTTGATAATACGACTGGACAACCAATGCTAGATGCTGGGTAAGAGTTTGCATTATATTCTAATCGTACAGCTGCCGCGAGTTCTAATGTTACATTATAGGGGAGAAACTGAGGATCTGGGTCGTTTTAATTTCGACTTTGCTTTCCCAACTCCAGAAACGCCTCATACTATGCCAATTGAGAATGAAAATGAACAGGACACATTCGAGTTAGAAAGTGTGCCGCCAGAATTCGGGGGTCCAGATAGTCCGTCGTCAGGAAGTGATTTCGGGACGGGTGGGTTTGAACCGGCCATGGATGACGTGCCATCTAACAGAGGGACACCAGAACCCATAGAACAAGAGGCGGAAGAGGTGGAAATGGAACAGGAAGACCAGCCTGAACCACCACAGAAGAAGCAAAAGGTCTCTAAACATGGTATCCCGGTCCCAAGCCTGCCGGCAGGAGTGGTAAAGAAGCTGGCAATGCGATTTGCTAGGTCTGGGAACAAGAAAACGAGAATCACGAAGGACACCATGGCTGCCATCCAGCAGGCCACAGACTGGTTCTTTGAGCAAGCGAGCGGGGATTTGTCCACGTACTCCAAACACTCCGGGCGTAAAACAATTGACGAGACGGATGTCATCGCTCTCATGAGAAGGTAAGCTTGTGTCAGTCGAATTATGCACGAACCCGGAGCTAACGCTTGGAAATGAAAGACAACGACATGTGGGTAGGAATGCCTCGGTGTTTGCTCTCGCGCAAAAGCATCTTCCCAAAGAGCTTCTGCAGGACATACGTTTGCCCAAGGGTTGATTGAGGTGTGTGGCAAGCTGCAGTATCCGAATGAGGTTTGTAGCTGGGATTATTATATTACCAGCTCTTGTTCTGACGGACCCGTCGAACTGCTTCATTCGGCCGTTTCTTGACAACCATCCACAGCATGATGGCGGTGGCCAGGGAGAGCCCGTACCTAGATCTACTGCGTTAGCTCAAACTCCCATGCATGTGTCCGGGGTGCTTTCAGTCTAACGTACCAGGTGAAGATGTACTGAGCATGGTTGTTGCGGAGGTTGACTTCCGCTGCACGACCAATTGGTATACCCTTGTCCTCTCTTGTGTACATGGACAAGATGTCCTGCACTGTTGACTTGTCAGCCAGAACTGTCACACGGACAAAGACTTGCAGCCAGGATTGCGAAAACTGCGGGATATGGGGGGTTACAGGTTACGAGGCAGACTTACCCATCGTTTCTTCTATCCAGACCGGCTGGCTGCCGGTCAGCTCGGCCATCTGCTTGACGTCCGGGAAGTAGAATTTGCCCTCCTCAGGCTTGTTATCGGGCGTAAACATGTTCTTCTTCCACGGTGACCGCAGCAGCCCCTCGACCACGACCTCTTCCTGCGGCAGCCCTTCCCTCCGCTCCGACTGCCGCTCCAGCGACTTTGCAATCCAACCGCGATTGACAAGGATTGTGCTTTCACCCTCCCCTCTTTCCAGTGGCGTCACGACGAGATAGCCATCCTTTCCTTCATGCATGCGGGGCCCAATCAACATCTCTTTGTCGTGTCGTAAACGGCCTTTTGCATATACCCGTCGATATTCAAAGTCTTCGACGGAATCAGGGTCGACGACCGGGGGAAGAGGCAGCGGCGGCTTGATGAGACGGTCTTCGAACTTCGCTATCAGGTTTGATTTCCACTCGAGGCGCTGGACCTGCCATGTCCCCAGGGCGAATGCTGTGACCGGAATGATAGCTAGATTTGTACACGTTAGCTATACAAACCACAAACCACAGGACTTATAACCACATAAAAGAGTAAAAAAGAAAAGAAAAGCAAGCAGTCTCAGATATGCTCCGTACCTAGTATGATCAACCCGTAGCCATGCTTCCCTCCTGTCCGAACCAGCTTAGCAGGGTTGTCCACGATCGATGTCCAATTGGGGTCTTCCGCCGGCGTGTGAGCTTGTCGAAGCTGAGTCCGCCCGCACTGCAGACCCTGTATCCGACCTGTACCTCTGCCAGTACCCGCAGACCGAAACACCGTCCTGATGCCCAGCCACGAGGGCGAAAACCGTCGTAGTAGAGTAAATGGTGCTGCCATCTCAAGGGTTGTTGCTTGTTGTTGCTGCTGCTGGTACCAGGTCGGTAGGTTATGACATCCGGCGGCGAAAGCTTCCAACTTCCAGCCCGCTCCCAGTCCAATATAATCGAATTGATATCGTCCAGCCTTCCCGTCTGCCTCCTTGTCTCGTCTCGTCTCGTCTCGATCGCTGCGGAAGAAAAGAAACCAAAAACTTCGTCGGATTCTTCGGATTTTAATGTCTTTTTTTTCCTTTTGATGTCTCTCTGATTGGCCCGTGCACAACCCATCCCCCAAAACTCTCGCCTTTTCTTCCTCGTATTTAATCGCAACGACGCAAGGAAGAAGAAAAGAAGACGGCGAGACGGGAAAAGGACGAGAACAAGTTATTTATACGAAGAACGACGGCCGGAAAAGCGCAGAGACAGAGCCTGTCGACAAGAAACGCATCGAGACATCGCCATGTTCTACCGAGGAGACTTGCAGAGCGGGATCAACGAGGCGGTTCGGGAGGTCAAGCAGGTTGTTTGCTTCATCACAGGTCCGTATTGCTGCCGGCGCCGGCTAGCTATCTAGATCTTCATCTCCACTGGCCTCTTGGTGACGCCACGAACCGACTGCTGACTGTGGTTTAGACGACGGCCAGCTCAGCAACCTGTGGGAGAACAACTATCTCAGGGACGAGAGGGTGCGTCCATGGTTCATTGGTGCCAGTTGGGCGTACAGGCGGGCTAATCTGGCTGCTAGATCGTTCGGTTGATAACGACAAATGCGGTGGCGCTGCGGCTGATCGAGGGCTCGCAGGAGGCAGAGTTCCTCGCGACCTTCTGTCCTGTGAATGAGTCGCCTACGCTCATCGTTATAAAGTGAGTTGAAGCAGTCTGTGAATCTTGGTGAACTACTGGGGTTGATGTTGTGTGGCACTGACAGAAGGCACTCTGTAGAAATGGCATCGTTCGAGAGTACATTGCGGCAAGGACGGAAGAGCCCATGTTCAAGCGGAGGCTGATAGCTGCTCTGGAGGACAATAAGCCGCCGAGGAGGATGCGGGAAGCTATGGCGCAGGCGCAGGCACAGGCACAAAGAATGGCGAGCCAAACAGGCAGCTCGTCGGTGTCTCCAACAACTATTCCTGCTGCCCCCGCAGCTTCTGGAACTGCCATTGCTACTCCTCCAGCTCCGTCCCCCCCTCCAGCCACACCGGCACCACCCAGCAACGTCGTCGATCCGCCCAGTGATACTCGTAGTAACGACCAACAGAGACGAGACAGTATCCGAGAGGGCAAACGACCAGCGGAACCAGAGAACGAAAAGAAAGAACAAGCAGAGTGGAAGGGCAAACAGAAGAGAAGACACCAGCAGGAACGAGAAGAACGAGAGCGGGTTCTTGAGCGAATAAGACGGGACAACGAAGAACGAAAGGCGAAAGCGGAGAGACAGAGGGCTGCTGCTGCTGAAAAGCATGAGGCTACACGCACACCTCCCCCTACTGCACAAACGTACCGTCTTCAGGTCCGTCTGTTTGACGGAAGCTCGATTAGAAACACCTTCTCTCCCAACCAGACCATAGGCACCGCTGTCCGGTCATGGCTGGATAGGGAACGCTCTGATGGCGATGCACCGTATACCCTGAAGCATATACTAACGCCACTTGAGAACAAGACCATCTCGCTCTCGGAAGAGGACCAGTCTCTCCAGGAGCTGGGTGTTGGTCCTACGGCAACACTGGTCATGGTGCCGATAAGAACGTATACAGATGCATATTCAGACTCAGGTGCATCACTGCCATATCGAGTTCTCTCTGGGGGATACAGCCTTGTTGCTGGCACGGTCAACGCTGTAGCTGGCATTGTAGGGTCTGCTTTGGGAATTGGACAGAACCCAGCTGCCGTTGGGCGCGGTGCGTCAACACAGACTGAAGCCACCGAAGAGACCTCTACTACATCTCCCAGAACATCTACACGCAACCGGGTTCGAACTCTGCATGATGCCAACTCGGGCAAAAATGACCACCAGTTTTATAACGGCAATCAGGTATGTCAACACTGTCAAATTTAACATTCGTCTAGCCCTAACCTTTGATAGTTGAACTTTGAGCCTCGAAAAAAGGATGACGATAACTAATGACTCTCTATCTTGCATGTTGCATATTGCATATCTTTATTTTTATTTTACTTTTCGACTCCACCATTTAATTACCACTTGCACCCTTCCAGCAAGGAATATTTCTATTTAACAAAATGTATTTTCGCTATGGATTCTATAACAAAACCAATGGATGAGGACTGTCATAGGCCACGCTGATGCATGTTTGGATTCTATATTATTACAAAGACATTGAGATCGTTCTAGTCTAGAGCTGGGAGACAGGACGTGAACAGGGCGTAAGTAAGAAGACGAAATTACATCCTCGTATCACCCTAGTAAGGCTTAGCAGCCTGCTGGCAGGCTTTCTATAGAGAAGTCAGTCATATTTTCCCAAAAGATATATATACGCTTAGGTTGTTGGAACGTACCAGCTGGTCCATGTACCATCCGCAGATGGTGAGGTCACCTCGGTTGTCATCCATGCACTTCCTGAAGCTTCGAGCATCAGCGGCACAGGGGGCATCCTCAGCCCATCCGCTGGTGGAGTTGGCCTGGTACAGCGAGTTGTCCATGGGTTGAGCGGCAGCAGCCTGCTGGGTCTCGGCTGGGGCAGCGCTGGAAGAGCCACCGGTGAAGAAGCTGCCGACAGCATGGCCGATGGAGGAACCGACAGCAACACCACTATACATAGTCCCGTTAGTCTCACATTGCTGAATATGGGTGCCTGTCTGCCTGATTTTGATACGTATATATCTTCGCTCGGCTCGGAAATGCGACTTACCCGGCGGTGGCAGCCATCTGGCCGAACAAGCTGGATCCGCCGCTAGACTGAGCGGGAGCTTGCTGGGTCTGAACGGGAGCAGCGGCGGTAGAGGATGGTCTCTGCTGCTGCATCTGAGGAGCAGCTGGTCTAGCTGGGGCAGCGGTAGGTCTGGGAGGGGCGCTGCGAGCGGGGGCAGCGGAACGACGTTGACGGGCCATTGTGGATGTGTGTATGGGAGATTGATACGGGGGTTCAGTGACGTTTGTGTTTCGTGGGATATCTGGGCTGGCAGAGTCGGCGTTGTTGACTGATGGAAAGTTGACGATGAAGATGAAGAAAAATAGGTACGGGGAGCGACGTTGGAGACGGAGATAAGTCGGGCCGTGTATGAAATTAAAAGGCTTAACTCCGATTGGTCGAGAGCTGCAGAGCGCGATTGCCAGTCGATCTCGCATGAGGAAGAAGAGAAGTAGATAGAAGAGAGTAGAAGAGTAGAAGTAGAAGAGGCAGGAGTAATAGTAGTGGTCTATAGAGTACTTATAGTAGTCGTAGTGGTAGAGGTAGGGCGGGAGATAAGTTGATATCTAGTTAAGAGCTTGGCCGGGACTCGTCTCTACTATGGACGATGGGTGGTAGCTCATAATGATATCAAGATCCAAATGCTGCGTCGGACAGCGGATAGAGCGTCAAATTTACTGTATGTATAACAGTATATGCATGGCTCATTGAGATACCTGGTGAAGTGTATGCATAAGCATAGACACATCCACCTCTCAACCGTTGTTTGGGGGCTGAGCAGCACCAGCTTTCTTGTCCTTCTTGTTCTTCCGCTTATGCCTCTTCTTCGCGGCGTTATTCCCATTCTTCCCGTGCATGGCCTTTCTCTCGGCCTTGCTCAGCTTTTTCTTGTTCTTCTTCGAGGTCTCGACGGCAGGCAGCTTGATAAACGCCTCCTCCTTCACCTCACCACCTTGCTTATCATCTTCGGCGCTTTCTTCTTCTTCAACTTCGCCGTCTTCTTCCCCTTCGTCCTCCTCCTCTTCATCATCCTCCTCATCATCATCCTCCGGGTCTGTTGTTCTACTCTTCTTTGGTTCTGGGGTCGACACTGCGGTACTATCGCGTCCCGACATTTCGGATTCTTCAACGGAGCGTTTCTGCGGTACTGTAGCAGCTACCTTCGCCTTCATCTTAGCTAGCTGCGCAGCCCGGAGCTGGGCCATCGCTTTCTCCTTTGCTTCTCTTTCAGCGCGCTCGAGGTCATACTTGTCGTTTCCGGCCTGTATCCGTTAGACGTTGGTGGACACAGATACAACTGTGAAGAAGGAGACTTACAAGACCGTGCTTTATAAATCTCCCTGCAGCCTGTGTGTCCAGTGTCATTGTTCGCTTCTCTGGAGGGGCCTCTAGGGTCTTAATCTTTTCATGATACTGTCTCACGCGGTTCAGTTCCCTGAATACCGGGTGTTCTTTTGCATCTACATCATTCAATCTTAGGTATGCTGGAAGAAGGAAGTTAGCTGATAATCAAGGGCATATATCAAAAGGGCGCAGCTGCATACAGAATATTAGGGATTCAATGGAGTATGAGAGCAGAACATGGAGCTTTGCCTTGTCCAGCAGAGGCAGCTTCTGCGCCGTCGCGGTGAGTCCCCGCTCCAGCAGCGGCTCCAGGACTTCTTCTATGTCATCAATGCTATCTTCCAGCTGCTCTAACAGCGGCGTCAAATCTGAAGCCTCAGTAGCCATGGTCTGCTGTGATATCTTCTGGATGCATAAAATCGTCAGCTTCTTGTCTTTTCTTTATTTCTTTTCTTCAAAATGAAATTTATGATTACGTAATATAAAGTTGCTAGTAAACCTTATCTCCAAAGTTAATTCACGTGATATCAAATTCGCGACTTCGACTTTTTCCTTCTACAAGTTCGAGCATTGCTGAATATCAATCGACGTTGACCTGCAGTTGAGCTGGATCTCACTGGCTATACTGTTTAGCATATACCTTTGATTTGTGCAACTCCTTTTGTACATTCACAGAACTAGAAATAACATAATTGGCTGGAACGGGCTGAGATGAACACCTCCAAGAGGCTATGGGCGAGGCTCAGGAGCTTCTCATCTATTAATGAAACATATCCACGCGTATATACCCACACACACACATGGAAAACGAAGATGGGCTCAATACACTTTTTCTCCACTGGACGACCACTTCAACACAGCTCAAGCAACAATAACAACAACATGCACAAGAAAATACACATCATGGGCGTGGGCAACATAGGCTCGTTCGTAGCACACTCACTCGCCGCCCGCCCTGTCTCCGAACGAGCCTGCATAACGCTTCTCTTCCACCACCCAGCCTTCTACAAGGACTGGAACCGATTCGGGCGGGTCGTTGCCGTAAAACGCCACGGGATACCCGAGCAACGATCAGGCTTCTGCATCAACGTCCTGCAGGACCACCAATGGTACTATCCGTCCGAAATCGAGGGAGCACCAAATGATCTGGTTGAGGAAGAATTCTCTCTACGTCAGGGGAAGGAAGCTGATAGCGATGGCAACCTTACCCCTGCTGACGAGGAGGGGATTGAACACTTGATTGTTACAGTGAAGACGACGCAGATTGAAAGGGCGATGAAGTCTGTTCGGCACCGACTGACGCCAGAGTCATCTGTGCTGCTCCTCACGAATGGGCTGGGGGTGTTGGAGGAAGTGAATGAGAAGATATGGCCTGATGAGAGCGAACGGCCGAATTATCTGTTTGGCGTCACGAGTCATGGGCTGTTCAAGTCAGGACTGTTTGAAACCACGCATGCTGGGGTGGGAGCAACTACGATAGGCGTTGTACGCCAGTCCCCGAGAGATGATATAGAGGATACTGCCGACGGCAGTTCAACTACCTTTGCACCGTCGACGAATTTCCTGCTGAAGACGCTTACGCAAACTCCCGAGCTGGCATGCATATCCACCAATGCAACAGACCTGTTCCTACTGCAGCTGGAAAAACTGGCAATAAACTGCATCATCAACCCGCTCACCTTACTTATGGACTGCAAGAATGGCGAACTACTATACCACTACAACCTGACGCGTGTCCAACGACTGCTGCTCATCGAGATAAGTGCCGTGATATGCGCTCTGCCGGAACTGCAGGGGGTTCCCGGCCTACAATCCCGCTTTTCACCTGAACGACTACGAACAATTGCTGTGGGTGTGGCGGGTAAGACGGGCGAGAACACTAGCTCTATGCTGCAGGATGCGAGGATGGGGAAGGAGAGCGAGATCGAGTATATGAACGGGTATATTGTGCGCAGGGGGGAGGAAGTAGGGGTGCGATGTGCGTTGAACTACATGGTTGTGCAGCTTGCGCAGGCCAAGTCGAGGATTGCGGGGAGACAGAGAAACGAAGAGGTTCCATTTGACCTGTCGAAGCTATAGCCACAGTCTATCTATCTATCAATTAATGTCTCAATATCTTCTCTCAATGCCTCTAGATCTATGTATATGCTTAGTCAGCAGTGGCATGATAGCTCCGTCGACTTTAAACTATCGAAAGCTTCAAGGAAGAAGCAGATCAAATATTATATAGAACAGATATAAAATGCCACCACGGATAAGGACACTGAAGATACCCCGTCAATTGGCTCGAGGCCGCCGGCAATTCTCGGTGCTGAGCCGGCCAGCACCAAATTATCCCGGCCATGTTCCGCTGACGACCGTTGAACGGTGCTCGATGGCCATCGGGTCAGCCATCGGCTCACTACTGAATCCTCGACGACATGGTAGAGACTTGAATTTCCACTAATATACTACGATATAAAGGAAGGTAAAATACTAACAAGGGAATAGATTTAATAGCCACACTGGGCGAAACAACAGCAACACCATACTTCATCTACCGGCTGCGAGACGCCATGCTCTCCGACGCAACCGGCCGGCGCATCCTCCGGGACCGACCACGCATAACCTCGCAGACCCTCTCACTACCTTATCTACGCTCCCTCCCGCCCAACAGCCTGGGCTACACGTATGCATTCTGGCTGGACCGCGAGGGCGTCACGCCCGACACCCGCAGCAGCGTGCGGTACATTGACAACGAAGAATGCGCATATGTGATGCAACGATACCGCGAGTGCCATGATTTCTACCATGCTGTGACCGGCCTTCCTATCGTGGTAGAGGGAGAGCTGGCGCTGAAGATATTCGAGTTCATGAACACGGGTCTTCCGATGACGGGTCTGGCTGCTGCTGCTGTGGTGCGGTTGAAGGGAGCCGAGAGGGAGAGGTTCTGGGATATTCATCTGCCGTGGGCTGTGAGGAGCGGAGCAAAGAGCAAAGAGCTTATATGCGTTTATTGGGAGGAGATGCTGGAGCGGGATGTGGGTGAGATACGGGCTGAGTTGGGCATAGAGGTGCCGCCTGATCTGAGGGAGATAAGACGGCAACAGAGAAAGCGGGATAAAGAGAAGCAGAAGAAGGAACAGGCTGTACAATAGAATAAACTGGCTTAAAGATAAAGAGAAGTAGGAAATGAAATGAGTGTGGTGTATTATAGGTCCAAGAGGTCGTCGTCGTCCCAGCCTCCACGCCGGTTGATGACTATCTTCTTCTTCTCTTCGTTCTCGGCCACGGCGTTGAGGAGGTCCTTGAGCTGGTCTTCTGTTACTTTCTGGCGTAGCTGGCCCGACCTGGCGAGCATGATGAGCCTGTTCTCTATGTCTGTGGCGCGAGACTCCTTGACGAGCCTGATGCGGCCGAGCCTGTCTGCGGCTTCGGGGGTGAGGATCTGGCTGAGGATGGACTGGCGGGCTTCAGTCTCTTTGTTTCTAGTGAAGTTAGCCTCCGTATAATATAATACTGTGAATGTGCGGGCGTATTGTGTAGGGAGATTACCTACCGCTGGTCGTCGTCGCCGGAGGGACCACCCTGCTGCTGGAGCTGGGCCAGACGGGCTTTTCTGATCTGAGACAGCTAGTTAGTATCTGCTAGACAAGCAACAGCAAGATAACTGACCTCTTCGAGCTCTGCGTCTGCCATGGTTGTGTTGTGGGCGTGGCTTTGGTGGGATGGCGGGGGAGCAGCGAGAGGTCGATATCAAGTTGAACCGGCGAGTAAAGTCGGGTCTTTGGACGTGAAGTAGAAGTATTAATCAGAGAATCCCGTTGAGCCTTCTTATAGAGGCCTTCTTGCGTGGTTTATCGAGGTTATCAAGCTGTCTGTCTGCTGCGGTAGAATATTTGATATCTTTTGCTGCTGAAGCTTAAATATACAGGAGTTTCATCTCTACCAAAATCTACCACCAACACAGAGTATCTACAGACGGGCAAGACAGGCAGAGACAGACAGGAGAAGCTTCTCACAGGCTATCTCTCTGGTCTAATTGAGTATCTATGCATGAGAAATGTCAACTGGAGGGGTGATGAGAGACAGCAGACCACCAGCTACAGGGATAGCTATAAGTAATAACAAATGACAGAAAGATGTTCAACCTGAGACAAAGAGACAAAGAATAGATAGTTATAGTAGAAGTACATTATTCAAAGTAATAATTATTGCTGTAGATACAAAGTACACACACTCTCTCTCTCTAAGCCTCTATATATATCCCTATGTCTTCTTCTCCTCGCTGTCTTCTATCACCACTTCTCATCTCTCCAACATCCATGACACCCATAACATCTATGCATCTTCTGCTTACAACAACTATATCATCTAATGACATATAATAGTTAACATTTAATCTTATATCTTACTGTTAACTTCATCTTCTTTGCCTCTTGCCTCCACGTGACCTGTCAAAAACTGTCTTCTTCTTCTTTTCTTCTTTTCTTCTTCGACTTCAACTTCAAACTTCTCCAACTTCAGGTTCTTCCCTCCCGCCAGCAACCCAAGTCGAGCCGCGAGCCAGCCAGCCAGCAGAAAGGCCGAGAGATAAACAGACATTAGCTACGCTGCTATAGACGAGGGCAGATACTAGTTATTAGCGACGACGACCTGAGACGGCGGACTCCCTGGCCCGCCGGCGTGGTGGATCTCCCCAGCCTTCGACCATACGTCAACTTCTCCGCCGTGGCTCAGCAGCTCGAGCTCTAGTTAGCTGCTGCTGTTGTTTACCAGCTGCTTCTCGCGCTTGTCCTGCCATCCGACGGGCAGCTCTGGCACCATTACTCTCCGGGCTGCGAGATTGAACAGACTGGATACCGGGTTGCTGGCGCCGCCTTGCCGCCATGTTGCGTGTCTAGCAGGCCATCTTCGATCCTGCTCACCACTAGCGCCCACCCGACAGCCCCTGCTCGCCCACGATACGAGCCGCCAGTCCGCAGGCCGGCAGCAGCCCAACCGCCATGGCAGAGTACGTCCTTCCAGCCCTCTCTCAACCGTCTCATTCGCTCTCTTATCTTCTCACGACGGACCATTTTTACCCTTATTCTCTCCAATGGTTCTCTGGCATCCATTACTATTGACTGACAACCAAACAAAAACAACAGATTCGTTGCTTACGGGCTGTACCCGGACCGGTCCTCGAAGAAGCTCGTCTCGCGCGCAAAATCTTCAAATGCTCTCGCCGAGATGGCTGCCGCTGTTGCCCAGGGCCCGTCTTCTGTCCGTCGACCCAAGGACAGAGACAGAGAGAGAGACCGAGACCGAGAGAAGCCAGAAAACTCATTGTCGACCCTGCGAGATCCTCGAGTAGCCAGCACCTCAGACCTGTCTCGTACCAGGTCCGCGTCGACTGCCTCACACCACCCGGACCTCAGCAACGAGGTAGCCAATCTCAGTGACAAGCTCATCCAGGCCATCAACCACCAGACCTTACTCGATGACAGCCTCGCAGTCGCCCGTCAGGAGCTCGAGGAGGAGCGGAAGCGTCGCAGCACCGTCGAGAAGGAGAAGAAGGGCATCGAGACTGAACTCGAGACTCTCACTGCTGCCTTGTTTGAAGAAGCTAACAAGGTAGGACATTTTAGAATATTCAACTTCCTTTTCGGTTTCTGGTCAATGTCTGACGTCTTATATAGATGGTAGCGGCTGCAAAGCAAGAGAGAGAAGTAGTCGAACGGAAGAACGAACAGCTACGAGCCCAGATCAAAGATACAGAGCTGCTGCTGGCCTCGCACCAGGAACAACTGGCCGAGCTCAAGTCCGTCATCGAGCAGATGAACAGCAGACACGACGACCAGGACACCGCTACAACAGCCACCTCCATCAGCTCACCCTCAGATCCCTTTCCTGACCAGCCTACTCCCAACAATGGCAATGGCAACAACCACAACATCAACCGTCTCTTCGAAGCCATGAACCTCTCTCCCGTCACGCCTGGTTCAGACGATATCCCCCCTGCTCCTCCAACAAGCTTCTCCCACCTGCTCAAACCCGTCTGTCGAACAGACATCCTCGCCTATGAAGACTTTAACACCCTCCTGCAGCTCTCTCGCTCCCGACCGCCTAGCCACGTCAGCAGCGGCTCCTACAGCGGTCTCAACGTCATGAACCTAGCTAACCTTACATCTTCCCGTCCTAAATCCACCACCCACACCCCCACAAACTCTCAGGACACCAACCACAACGGCGGTAACAGCAACAATGTCAACACCGGCAGTCCGGCAGCAGCCAGCTCGTCCGTTGCCTCGTCCCCTTCCACGTCTCATGGCGGCATCTCTTCCTCCCCCCGAGAAAACATCACTTCCTCGATGCAGCTCAAGGAAACACGCTTCTACAAACGCATTCTCGCAGAAGACATCGAGCCCACGCTCCGTCTCGACATGGCACCAGGCATATCCTGGCTCACTCGCCGCTCCGTCATGAGCAGTCTCGTCGAGGGTGAACTCATCATCGAACCCATCCCTTCTAACACCTCATCAGCCAATTCGGCTACAGACTTGCCTTCTCCCCCATCAACACCCTCAAGTATGTCGAGTACGTCCACCCCCTGCGCTCTATGTGGTGATAGACGGACGACAGTCAACCCACGCACCCACCGTTTTCGTACCTCGAGCTCCGACTCGGCCCCCAAACATGCTTTGTGCTTGTTATGCTTGGAGAAGATGCGGGCTTGCTGTGAGTTTGTGGGATATCTAAGACTGGTTGTCGACGGACATGTTCGGACCGGTGGAGATGGAGAGGCAGAGATCAAGGAGCGGGAGAGGGAGGCTTGGGAGGAAACTGTCCGGTTGAGAGAGAGGATCTTCTGGGCTAGGATCGGCGGCGGTGTCGTCCCGGCTTTTATCTCTGGTAAGAAGGCAGAAGACGACAGCGAGAAAGAGAAGGAGAAGATTCAACAGTCTGATGATGCGCCGCTTGTCATCAAAGATATCACTGTTACTTCTCCAGCGGATGCTAAGCAGACACCTGTATCAACACCAACGAAACCAGAGGCGGAAACGGAGACTACAGAACAGCTGGCTTCAAGTATATCCACGCCCACTCCAACGCCTACTCCGGCACCCGCTGCTGAAGCGGAGCCATCAACAGCACCAGCGGATACTCCATCCACATCTACACTCTCAGCATCAACAACAACTACTACCACTCGCAGTCTCTCCCTCTCTCCATCACGGTACAGATCTCGCTCTCCGTCTCCCTCTCCCAAGCCAGCTCCATCTTCAAGACCAGCAACCGCAATACCACCCTCACCCACCTCTACCTCCCAGACTCCAAGAACAGTCCTACGCCGTCTGAGATCTGTACCACCACCTTCAACTCCTCAATCCCCATCCACAGTGACTTCACCGGATACCAAGTTTCCCAAGGTCATGCCTGTCTCTCTCCGTGCAAGTCTGGCCAACGGCTCATCTACTACATCTACTCCATCCACGTCCGGCCCAGCACCAGCACCAGCAGAAGGCAAGCTCAAGGTGAAGATCCCTGCTGCTTTTTTGCATGATAATTAGCACATCACTACGTCATGACCGGTTCACAACACACGCACACATAACATCCATACTACGTACAGCGTTCTGTTCCTAGAAAACGAATGAACATAAACAAAAGCAAGACGAAAGACCGTTTTTCTACACCAGAAGAAGCTGAGCATTCGTTTTGAAAGAAATTGATGATACCCCCTACCGACCTTCTTACCAACCGCTTGAGACCACGCCGTTCCATTCTTTTGCATTCTATTGCACTGCATTCAATTCGATTCTGATTCATTGCCTTTGATCGTTACTGCTATTCTTAATGCTTCATACCGGCCCGTCGGGCTCGACCTCGCTCACTATCAACCATTTCCTTTCTCTCATACACTACTTACTTAACATACCGCCCATCAGCCACCACCATACCACGCACAGCTGCGGCTCCCCTACATGCTTCCTTTCTTCTCCTTCTCCCTTCGCGGACTTACTTCATCTTCTTGTTCATCTTTTTTCTTTTTCAATTCGGGAGAGTGTACGTTACGTTTCGTTATTTAGTTGCTTTTTATTCACTTACATAGAAGGGGCCAGTTGGTGGTTAATTGGTTGGTCGGCTGGATGGGTGGACGATTGGTCGGAAAGGTTTAATACTGCAAATAGACGGATGAACCTCAGCTTGAAATAATGAAGCTGGAGCTGTCATTTTAGTTACCCTACGTAGGTAGCGAGCAGATATAAATGAAACGAGAGCTGAGGTACCTATGTTGCTCCAATTTATTCATTCCTAAACGCCGCTAGATAAATAGCTGATAATACATATGCGTAAAAATACGACATACCACGTCGTTACCGCCCCATCTTCTCGTGAATCTTCCTTATTTGCTCGTTAATGTCCACCGGCGGCGTGTCTGGTTTGGCTTCCTCGGGGGCTGCCTGTGGCTGCACTGGCGGTGGCTTCTGGATAGGCGGTTGAGGCAGCTCGCGCATGGCAGGAGGCTTGTTGGTGCTGGTGCCGGTGCTAGTGCTGCTTGGTCTGGAAATGCCAGCTCCCACGCTCACGCCCGGCGAGGGTGTGGGTGCGGGTGCCATCCCAGGAGGTGCTACGCCCGGAGGCAGCGGAATTGTCCCTGGTGCCCCGGGGGGTAGGCCAGGTACTGTGCCCGGTGCATGGACATGCATTTGCGGTTGAGGATGCGTAGGCATAGGCTGCGAGAACGAGCGCTGCTGAACAGGCACGTTCATATTCACGGGCACCCCGTTTGGCCCAACAGCCACCCTCTTGCGTCTGCCTTCTTCGTCCTCTTCGTTTGTAGCGGTAGACGACCCTGCGACGCCAGACAACATTGGATCAAACACGTCGCTTCGTTGACTGGCCAGGCGCTTAAGGTTATTAGCTACGTCGACAGTTGAAAGGTTAGTGCTAGCGAATCGGGCCTCGGCCTTCGCGCGCTGTTCCTTCCAGCGAGGATCCTGTAGCTCAATACGCATATGCTGCTCCATTTCTGCAATGGGGATTTGCTGCCTGCAATTGGGACATATGGATGTAGGTTGGTTGGCGTTGGAGAGATGTTTGGCTTGTGCGCGAGGGACGTAGTCTGATCGAATGCGCATGGGGGGTTGGCCGGGTACGGGCGAGGGTGAGGGATTGGCGCGTACCCGGTCCCGAGCGGGATGCTGATCGGGTATTGCTGCTGCCGGTACTGGTGCTGCTGGGGGTGCGGGGGGAGTGGGAGATGCAGTTGCTGGCATGGGAGCGGGTGAGAGGGAGGCAGAAGTTACTGCTGTTGAAGGGAAGGGTGACGGGGACGGTGCTTGCGGTTGTATGGGGCCGGTGGATACGGGACGTTGTGGTTGTAGAACGGGGAGAGAGGGTTGATGTGATATGTCTGATGTTGCGTTGTAGTATGTCGTCGAGTCGTCTTCGGTGGGCATGGCTTCTTCTATTCGTCTGTCATGCGGTTGTAGGGATATCATCGCCTTCTGCTCCAGGGATGCGGTCTGTAGGTCGTTCAGCGATGTAGGCGGCGGTAGCTCGCTCTGGTCGTCTGCCTCTGTGAACAGCACCGTCTCAACCACCACGAAATCATGCCAGTCGATCTGCGCGTAGGCTACCTTCTCTTCCTCTTCCTCCTCTTCCTTTTGCAGCTTCTGCATCTCCTGGTACTTCACCCACTCTGCCCGCTGCTTTGCGCGCCCGAGAACGTTGTATTTGTTCGTCACATTCTCCCGCAGGTCCGCCAGCCGCTGTTCTTCTGTGACGGCGCTCTCACGTCCCTCGACCTGCAGCAGCTCCCGGTACTGATCAACTAGCCTGGTGAAAAACTGATATAAACTGTGCTGCGGCCGAAGAAAGTCGAACTGGAAGTTTCTCGTCTCGCGCTGGGATAGAGATGTCATGAAGGATTTCCCCCTCTTCGCAACAAACAGTGCCGTCAGCTTGACTACCTCCAGATCCAGCGCGTTGATATTGGGCATCCGGGCCGAGAACTGGAACTCCGGCGGTGGTTTGGGGGCGTTTGACTCTTCCTCCTTCTTAGCTGGCGCAGCCTCTCCAACGCGCCCGGCAGACACATCCGTCCCTCTACCGGCCTTGATCTCACTCAGTCTCCATGCGTAAAACGGAGCATAAGCGTCGTTCGGGTTTAGGAAGCAGAACTTGGTGTTGTTCTTCTCCTTTTCCCTCACTCGGTCTATCAATCATCAGTATCTCAATCCCAATGGAGCTGCATCATGATGCCGCCCTACCTTCAAAAACATGTCCGTTACGCGCAACGAAGCCCGCGGTCTTCTCGACAATGACTATCCCCACGGTCAGCATCTGCAACTCCTGTAGAATGGCTCCTCTTTCAGCCTACCTTTGATGTCCTTTGGTGGCAAGATAACGCCCTCTGGCGGCTTGTTCACCTCGTCCGGCAGCTCTGACGGCGTGCTAGCAGCCTCGTTCACAGCCGACGGCGCCATCTCGCTCTTCTACCTCTGGAGATCCCGTAATCCCGTTCTCTGCCGCCTGCGTGTCGGCCTTCCTGGTCTCCTTCGCGGTTGGGTTGTTGCTCTTGCGCAGCTTGAGGTCGTCGTCGGTTCTCCAGCTTTTTTTAATTTTTGATAGCTTTCGATTTCAGCGTCGCTGCTTACCTAAGCACCCCCTTTCTTCTTCCCGCCGACCGCAAAGCAGGAAAAAAAAAGAACACCATCCAACTTCATCTTCGACTTCCCTTTCTCTTCTTCGTTATTGACTGTGTCGACCCTTTTCTTCTGCTTCTTGACCCTCGCTTGCGTTATCTACTTCTACTTCAGCCTCCCTTGGCGTCTACTTATCGTCTCTTTTAATCAATGTGGCCCGTTTAGCAGCTCGTCCAACACTCTTCTTCGACCGCACGCAGCTCCTCTCTCGCTCTTTATTCTGCTTCGTTATTTACTTTAATCCGTGATAATGGCGTCCAAGGCCTCGAATGCCGGTCTGGAGGCAAAGACGCCCAGCAAAAGCCGCTCGAAGAGCCGTTCGAAGAGCAGATCCCCTGGCCCCAAGGGTGCCTCCAAGCAGTCGAAAACCCACGATTACCGCTCCGATGGCGTCAAGGACTACGATGTCCTTAACCTTCCCGTCTCAAACTACAAGATAATGCTTGTTATCACTGCAATTGCAACGGTGGTGCGGCTGTTCAGGATCTACCAGCCTTCCAGCGTCGTCTTTGACGAGGTCCAGTAAGTTCCGCCGCCTCCCCTGCCATAGCTGATACCGAAGCAATTGGAAGGCTAATGGGATGTCTGTAGCTTCGGAGGCTTCGCTACCAAGTATATCAAGGGCAAATTTTTCATGGACGTCCACCCGCCGCTAGCTAAACTGCTTATCACCCTCGCTGGTCACCTCGCCGGGTTCAAGGGAGATTTTGACTTCAAGGAAATTGGCAAGGATTATCTGGAACCTGGTGTTCCCTACGTTGCCATGCGCATGCTTCCCGCTATCATGGGTATAATGACCGTCCCTACCATGTTTCTTACTCTGAAAGCAACTGGTTGTCGGACTTCAACCGCCTCGTTCGGTGCTCTCCTGGTCACCTTTGGTGAGTTTTCGACACCCCCTACCTACCCCGAACATATGGAATTCCAATTCTAACAGCTACTAGAAAATGCACTCGTTACCCAATCGCGCTTCATTCTTTTGGACTCTCCTCTGATCATCTTCACTGCCTTGACCGTCCTCTCTTTCGTCTCGTTCTCCAACCAGCACGAACAAGGCCCGCCAAAGGCCTTTGGATGCTCTTGGTGGTTCTGGCTGGTGGCATCCGGACTATTCCTTGGAGCAACTGCTAGTGTGAAATGGGTTGGTCTCTTCACGATTGCGTGGGTTGGATCATTGACTCTCGTCCAACTCTGGGTTCTTCTCGGGGATTCAAAGACCGTTACTCCAGTAAGCTATACCCACCAACGTTAACCAAACATATTTCAGCGCATACTAATATTCTTCTAGCACCTCTGGTTTAAACACTTCTTTGCTCGTGCCCTCTGCTTGATTGTCATCCCTGTTGGCCTCTACATGGCTATGTTCGGAATTCACTTCCTCTGTCTCCGAAACCCCGGTGAAGGTGATGGCTTCATGTCATCCGAATTCCAAGCAACTCTCAACTCAAAGGGCATGAGTGATACTCCCGTCGATGTTGTCTTTGGCTCTAGGGTATCTATCAGACATCACAATACACAGGGAGGCTACCTCCACTCACACAGCCACATGTACCCCGGCGGAAGCAAGCAGCAACAAATCACCCTTTACCCCCACAAGGATGACAACAACATCTTCATTCTCGAGAACCAGACTCAGCCTCTCGGACCATATGGCCAGGTTCCTGGACCACGGGCCTGGGATAACATCACTACAGAACACATCATTGACGGCAGCACCATCAGGCTCTACCATATGACTACTGACAGACGCCTCCACTCTCATGATGTTCGTCCTCCAGTTACCGAAGCTGATTGGCAGCAGGAAGTTTCCGCCTATGGCTACGAAGGATTCGAGGGAGACGCCAATGACCTCTTCCGCG